CATGTATGCCCAATAAATCACATTTAAAAAATGTGAATAAAAAGTGAATGCATCTCTGCATCAATTAGAAAACACCATACTTTCTTATTAAACTGTCACTCATATAATACTATGTAAGTTGATAGATACCACATGTTTTTATATGTGAAAATTGTTGCATGAAGGAATAGTTAATACACAATATCAATCAAGGAATGTGTCTTCTTTTATTATGTGCTAATTTTTTTTAACACTTTATTTCATTTTTTTTTTAATTAATCGCAAAACTGGAATATTTTGTATACCATATGTAACAATAGTAATAGATATCCAATTATATATTGAAACTCAGGATAAACAACAACAAAGAATATCGTCCAAAAAAAAATCAAACACAAAACATAAAAGGATGTCCATTACACATAAGTCTGTGAATTTTCTACAACTCTTAAAGTTTTTTAGTTTTAGTAATCTGTTTGATAAGCAATAATATCTGTCATCTTATCAGCATGGTAAGCTCTTCTTAAACATTTTATAATTGAGAGAAGATATGTAATTTCCATTCTAAATGTGGTTTCTTGGGCAAAGATGTAGGACTGTAGAAATGATTGTTTGCTTATGGAACTATAACATCAAATATACTATAGCGGAGGTATGCTGTTTTATAAAAAGGAAATTCATTTTTGTCTTGCCATGTAACATTAGTCATAGTGATCCTAATATTGTTGTGGCTAGAGCATTCTCTATTACTACATGTCAGGGCTATATTGCATTCAAATTGTCTGTATGTCAGTCTATTTGTCCATGTTTCCCCCCAAACGTTTCTCATATTGTCTGTGAACCAGAAAAATAATTGTTTTTGTTGGTCCCTTGTATGCCCCTTTACAATGATAACCCGCAACCTTCCTATTGTGGTATGGAACCTTGTGCTAAAATTTAATAGAGATTCATACACTTATACTCAAGTTATTGCCTGCAAACCAGAAAAATAGTTGTTTTTGGCCCCTTTTCGACCCCTAATTATTAAACGGTTTGGGCCATGACCCCCAAAAATCAATACGAACTTAACCTTTGAAGTATGTAACCTTGTAGTAAAATTTCATAGAAATCTATACTCTTATACACAAATTATTGTCCTGAAACATGAAAAATAATTGTTTTGTGCCCTTTTTGGTCCCTTATTACTAAACAGCTACGACAATAACCCCCAAAATAAATCCCAACCTTCCTATTGTGGTATGGAACTTTGTGCTAAAATTTAATAGAGATCCATACACTTATACTCAAGTCATTGTCTGTAAACCAATTTATTTTCTACGAACCAGTAAAACTGACCTTTTTTGCCCCTAATTACAAAAACGGCTAGGACAATACCCCCAAAAATAATCCCAACCATCCTTTAGTGGTATGGAATCTTGTGCTAAAATTTCATAGTGATCCAAAAAAAAGTATATACACTTATACTAAAGTTATTGTCTGCGAACCAAAATGTCTTCAGACGCAGACAAAGACATCGCCATAACATAATACGAACGGAAACAGTTTTGCGGTCGTATAAAAACATCTCTTCTCAATATTGTCTGAAATTTTGATTGTAAGTTCTTGTAGGTTACCATCTCATTACACAATTATCAAAATTAATAGAACCAATAAATGAAGCATGTAGCGCTTCTCTCTTAACTGAAATTCTGGATCTGCCTCTGACATACAAAAGAAAATGACTAAAATTATAAAAACTTTAGTTATGCACTTCTGGCTTCACAATTATTTTATGCATTGGACATATCATTGGTTGTCTGTTTTTCAGTTCAACAGACCCAAAGGGTTAAGTGAGCTTTTCTAATCATTTGGCTACCGTTGTAAGTCGTACTTTGCCGTCCGTTAACTTAAACTTCTCTGAAACTACTAGGCCAATGATTGGAACCAATTTGGCCACAATTACATTGGTTTATTTTTTTTTTTAAATGTAACCTTTGATCCTGCCAGTCAACCAACATAGCTGACATGGCTAAAATAAATGGATGTATGGATGGTTGTTTAACGTTCAGTGTCAAGTTAAATGCATATTCAGGACGAGCATAGATAAAGAGATATGAATGTTGACCCTGTTTTGTACTAAAGCTGGAAAATTTTAAGTGCTAAGTTATAGGAGTTAAAGCCCTTTATTGATGAGTTTTATCAATTTTTGACATTTTTGATCATTATCTTCAAAACTATAATATATATAGATAAAGTGAAACTTTTAATAGCAATAATGATCACAGGACAGGGTCTACAAATTTGTCACAATGACCAAAATTATTGGTTTCTTTCCTTTTCAGTTTGCCTATTAGCATGAACACTTTAATAGATTGACAAGTTGCTCACCAAATATAAGTTATTCAGTTTAGAAGCATATGAGAAACGTTTGGGGGAAACATGGACGAATAGACTGACATACAGAGAAGTTGAATGCAATATAGCCTCGACATGTAGTAACAGAGAATGCTCTAGCCACTACAATATTAGGATCAAAATGACCAAAGTTACCCGGCAAGACAAAAATGAATTTCGTTTTTATAAAACAGCATACCTCCGCTATATATATTTGCAAACAATCATTTCTACAGTCCTACATCTTTGCCCAAGACACCACATTTAAAGTGGAAATTACATATCTTCTCTCAATTATAAAATGTTTAAGAAGAGCTTACCATGCTGATAAGATGACAGATATTATAACTTATCAAACAGATTACTAAAACAAAAAAATGTTAAACTTTAAGAGTCGTAGAAAAATCACAGACACATGTGTAATGGACACCCTTTTATTTTTTGTGTTTGATTTTTTTTTTTTGACAATATTCTTTGTTGTTGTTTATCCTGAGTTTCAAGATATAATTTGATATCTAATTATTATTACACCAATTTATTAAATATGGACCACAACAAGGGTTGGTCAAGGGCCGACAGACTTGCTCGGGAAAGCTTTTGGATAAGAAAGTTAAAACAGTTTCCCCAGAGGGCATTAATGAAAAAACATAAAATGAGTTCCTACCATCACTTGTTTTCTGTAACTCAGGCTTCAGTACAGAACTCTCACAGTTTTAAGGAATGTTTTCCTCCTCTCAAACATCAATATTGAAAAATTTTTACCAGCGTATTTATTCGTGGTAATTTGTATAACGTTCAAGATTATTATTTCAGTTCGACTACCACATGTCAAAATAAGAATCATTTGACATCTTACTGATGAAGGATATTAGTTTATTTATTTAATATTTGTTCATGATTTTATTATTTTTTTGGTGATGTTGTACCCTTTGGACTTGCTTATTATATATTATATTTTGTAGTGTAGTGTATCATATTTATATGGTCCATCGCCTCGTAAGATTTATTGTTGGCTATTATTCTGCATTTAATTATTATTACATATAGTATAAAAAATATTCCAGTTTTGCAATTAATTAAAAAAATTGAAATAAAGTGTTTAAAAAAAAATAGCACATGATAAAAGAAGACACATTCCTTGATTGATATTGTGTATTAACTATTCCTTCATGCAACAATTTTCACATATAAAAACATGTGGTATCTATCAACTAAGTAAACATAGTATTATATAAGTGACAGTTTAATATGAAAGTATGGTGTTTTCCAATTGATGCAGAGATGCATTCACTTTTTATTCACATTTTTTAAATGTGATTTATTGGGCATACATGTAGACAGAATATGCAACTGTTGAAAGTGTCATTTTCAAAACAATATAAAAGTTGGTCATTAACAGAAGGTTGAGCAATAAAACTTTTTAACTACATTATCTAGATTATAATCATAATATATGCAGTACTTACCAAAATTTCAAAGAATAATTGACAGAAATTTTCAATGTGTCAGACCGGGACATAATATTTATCTTAATAATCTTAACTGTATGGTTAATATCTGAGATGTATAAATTGAGTTTTCTCTTGTTTTCTGTTCACAACTTTATGTAAGTGATCTGTTTTGTCTACATCCACTTTGTTAGTTTAGTAATATTTCCTTTTCAAAAATAAACCAGATACATAATGTCACCAAATTAAAATTTTCAAAATTTCCTACTTTAAAAAACCATACCATGCTTCATACCATCAAATTATACCATGGTATAGTAATTTGTACCATACCATCATACCATACCATGGTACCATTCATGCATACCATGGTATGGTGGTATTCGTACCATACCACCATACCATAACACATACCATACCATCGTACCGTACCATGTTTTACAGTATGCCATTTTGTTCATAGCGAGCTCTTCACATGTTTCGATTATTATACATCCTACCAGACTTTCGAATATTTGGCCTTAAGCGTTCCTGATGAAGGTAAATCTAGAAAAGCTCTTCGGATCTAAATTTATAGAGTGTTGTTTTCATTTTTAGACAGGCATAATTAAATGCTGTGCGAGTAACCCCAAAAGAACAATATAGGTAGATCGTAGTTAAGTATACGATGTTGTGTTGCTTAGTTACTCATTTTCAATTTACCTTAAAGTTAAGAAAAGGGACATTATAGGAGGAGCTATACAACCAAAACGGAATCGAAACATAATAACTTAGCCGTCTTATTTCAACTTCGCTCTAGTGAGCTGACACCTTTTTTTTTAAGTTTAAAAACGTATTCGGATGCGATCACATGACCTTTTGTGTAAAATGTTGACTGCGATTGATAAACACAAGCTGTTTAAATAAACCATTGAAAGTTTATCTTATTAAACTCAATAAATATCGCAAAGTGCATTGTGTACACTTAGTGTACTGTTTTAAAATTCATTCTAAAACTGATGATAAAATTTAATGAGGTTCTAATGCTGTTCAGCTCTTCTACCTGTTGTCACTAACGAGTAACGCGATTAATAAAAAATGATGGACAATAGAGACTCGTAGCAAACAGTGTTTTATACTCGGCAGATTAACAATGGTATACAAATACTGGTTGTATTATGTTGAAAAAATCTGAAGTACAAATTATCAAAATAGACTTACAATTAGAAGAATCTGTCTTAGAGGAGTTTTGCTGTGATGATGATGATTCTGAACAATCGGCCTCGCACGGTAGGCACAACGTCGCTTCACTTTGAGTGATGTTCTCTGCTGTCCCTAGAGATAAAACATAATGTTTTAGCTAGTAAGTATATTTTTGTAATAAGCTCACATCTAAGCGCATGACCATTTGATTTTCGGGAAGAGGGGTTTTGGGATGGAATATTTAATTTTCACATGTTACCAGATTTAGGAAAAGTATTTGACAGATGTTCAAACTTCATAAACTTATTAAGAAGACAAAGCAAACATTAAGAGAATAGGCTAAACAACTTAAGGAGCTCGACAGAGAAAACGTAGCCTACTTTGCATACATCACCCTCCCACTCAGTCAAAAGAACACAACGGGAAATGGGACACAGTTGAAAAAATTACAGATTAGATGACGATTGACTGTTTTCTGCTCTTTGGTCGAGTTGTTGTCTCTTTGACACATTCTCCGTTTCCATTCTCAATTTTATTAGTATCTAAAGATGTAAGACTGCAAACACACGTCGTTAATGTGTTGAGACACAGACGTATATCGTATCGATCAACCAATTCGTGATGGTGACCGTAAAACTTAGGTTGTGTATTATAAATGTCAGTCGTTCTTCAACATAAATCTGTTGGAGCATTTTTTGTGTAAGGAACACACCCCTCCTAATGGAGTCCGTATAGTGTGAACATGCACGAGCATAGCTTATCAACTGAGATACGCAAACGCCTAGGGTACACAAACAATAAATGCTGTCAAAAGTTGTCATCATCACGTTTGTCATAGATTTTAGTTTGAAGTCGTCCATCTGAAAATTGATTCTATCCAATAAAATGCAGACATAAATTAAATAAGCCGTATACTTACGACACAGATGTCTTTGCCAACGTTATTTTTCCGGTTGTTAACAGGCCAGACTATTCTTTTTCAAAAGATAATTTTTACAAGCTGGGTCGTTTGTTTAATGACATCCCCAGTCACAATATCAAAACAAAAGGAATGCCAAAATAAGTTGCTAAATAGATATTTACTAGGGGAATCTTAAAGCTATATATACAATAGCGATTAGAAAGTAAAAAATACATTACGAAATATATTGCTAAAATCTTGTCTCAAAAACCAACGTTTAATGACATATTATTTAAAGTGAAACAGATGGGTTTGTAGATAGAAATCGGTAGCTTAATTTTCAAGTTCAGAGCTCCAAAGTTCAACTTTAAGTTTGGAGATCTCATAAGATCAAGTAGTACTAATGTACTACATACATGTCAAATTGGCATACTAGCAAATAATTAATTTTGTTATTTAAGCGTTGAATGTGGATCAAGTATCTTTTTTTTATTTTTTCCAAAGAGAAACGACGACTCCTTTGGAATACAACATGTGCTCTTTGTCAACCAAAGTGACACGAACATGGTTTATTGTATGATATCGGAAAACAACTTGTACTTCGAAAATGTACAACATGATATCTTATAAAAAGGAGTAAACACATGACACCAATTAAAAAAAATCAAAGCAGCTTAATTCACCAACACTTGTTCCTTCTATAAGGTTTGCATTGCCAGGGAACCGTCCTACCTACATGTAAGATTTGTCTCCCTTGACCAAAATATTTCTAGAATTGGAAACAAAGCCGGTTGCTTAAAAATAGACATTTAATTACCTTGTCTTTGTATCGGCCGAAAGTCACTGTCGGAATGTGGTGTTGTAAATGAACAATAGTCACATGTAGGCGTAATTGCTGGGTCTGGACCAGTATCTCCGAATGAAGCAGCGGAAAAGTATATACGAAAATTGGGTGGAGTTGTGGTTCCGGTTCCATCTGGTTCTGAAAAAAAGTTGCAGGATAATATGCAGAAAGAGAATTAACACATATTTATAAGAACTAAGATTTTCCAATCTATTGCGGAAAAACCCTGAATATATTTTGGACTATCAATATATATATAAGAACATCAGTTGTTCGACCTGCTAGTCAAATGCGTTTTGTTACAATATACTTTTTCACTCATTTGGTCTTTTGGAAAATGTTGTTTGTGCTGTATTTAGACCCCTCTACCAAGAAATTTGTTGTGCATGCACACGTATAAAAATTGCGGTTTTTATCCAACGCAATCATAGGTTTGAACGTTGTTTTCAATTTAGACTTCAAGTTGTTTATATATATATATATATCTAATAAGCAAGTCACCAAAAAAAAAAAAAAAAAAATCATGAACAGTTGTTAAATATTTCGGATAACTAATATCCTTCATCAGTAAGATGTCAAATGGTTCTTATCTTGACATGTGGTAGTCACACTGTAATAGTAATCTTGATCGTTATACAAATTATCACGAATCAATACGCTGGTAAATTTTTTCAATATTGATGTTTGGGAGGAGGAAATTCTCTTCATTTTGGTGTACGCTAGTGTACGTAGAATAGCATTACCCAGTACCGTTTACATTTGACAACGGCCAATGTGTTTGCTTGTTAAACATAAGTCATATACTGTTCTCTTCTATAAAATAACATACTTGTTTATGCAATATTTGCAATATATGAATGGAATGGCCTATTTTTTTTTATTGATGACGTTGTTCATGATGCATGTGTTTGGGGCCTGACAATACTTACAAGACTACATACTTATATTAGTCATATATGGTAATTACGATTAAAAAATAGGGTGTTACATTGAAAATTCAGAACATCCTATATACACTAAAACACGCTTGTATAGGCAGCGGTACAGTTTGATCTACCAACTAGTAGGTGAAATTTTTCTATGCAAACGAGGTAAAATAAATAACTTAGCCAGAGTCGAGAAGATCAAAATAGAGGCACCTCATGGGGGTGTCCAAGTAATCACATAATCACAATTTTTTTGCCAATACATACATAGTCATTAATTATTTTTTTAACCAAGGTAATCAAATAATCAAAAATACAGTCCTAGATTATCAAATAATCAAATAATCATGAGATATTTGGTCTGGTAATCAAATAATCACTATAAAAACCGCCAAGTAATCACATAATCATAAACCCCATGAGGAAGCTCAAAATACTGTAATTTGTACTTACCATGAGTAACACGACGGTTGCCACCTATGGAACAGGACCTATTTACTCTTCCGTAGCAGCTTAGTTGGTGGGTAAATTGTCGCTCCGTTTTTAGTTTCTTATGTTGTGTTTTATAGACGGTTGTTTGTCTTTTCGTCGTTTTTGTCATGATTTTGTCGGTACCCTTCGACCTATGAATTTCGGTTCTCCCTTATAATATCTACCGCCTCTTGTTTACTGATTTATCAAAAATGTTTATGATGCCATTCATACTATACGCAGGGGCGGATCTAGCCACTTTTAAGGGGGGATCCAACCCAGGATAAAGGGGAGGGGGGGGGGTTCACCCATATGTCCCAATTCAAAAGCATTGATCTTCAAAAAAGGGGGGTTCCAACTCCCGGACCCCCCACCCCCACCCACCCCCGGATCCGCCGCTGATACGCATTCTATCTTTTACATTATTAAAATATTTTTCATAGATAATATGATATAGAGTTACTGTACGGAAGATATTTGTACTCACCAGTAACATGTATGCCAAGAAATGTCTTACCTGATAAGAGATGATAATAAAACAAATTATCAGACACTTTGACCATCTTCATGCAAAGAAATGAAGGCTGATTTGTAAAAATATTTAAAAACGTGGAATTACATCTAAAAAGACAAATATTAATTTGAAAATATTAATAATATACATATCTATATAAAATATATACAATATCATCTTATTATGAAAACTATCACAGATTTATTAACTTATAGAAAAAATAAAAATTCCTACAATGAACGTATCCCTTTTATTACTACCTGATATCATTGGTCAGCGACTGTATGGGAGTTCCTATTTATGTGCTTTTTCGAGCACACTTGTCTTTAAAACTCAATGTATGCTTCCGTGTCAGTACACAACTTTTTATGGCTAATTTCAAATTGTATGCATATTCGATAATTGTCTAATGGCTCATTACAAATATGTGTGCTTTGTGTCCATATACTCGTGTCTTAATAGCTGCTAGATACACTGTGCAAATCTATTGCATACATCTTTTTTTTTTAGTTATTGAAATTAGTCAAAATTTTGACACATCGTTTCTGAAGTCTTAAACATCAAATTCTGTGTAAATTATAATTTTCGTTATCTTTATTTTTGATGTCTCAAAATAACACATTTTTAAACAAATAAATATTGCAAAATTTGTAAAAACTAAAGTTGTGTGTTTCTTTTCAGCTGAAAACAACGAACATGACTTTAATATTGAGTTTCTTAATCAATTTCTTGTCTAATAACCAATTTGAAATTGACTTATCTCAGACTTTTTATTTTAGACTTTTGTGGTCGAAATTTCCATTCACGGTTACCACTAAAATGATTTTTTTTTGTAAAATCTGTATTAATTTCAAGGTACATGCATTGTTAAATTATAATTGACTTCCACAGATTTAAATCAACAACAAAAAATTGTGAAACTACTAGATATGGTAAGATGTGGTGCGCTATTTATGTTGTTAAGTATATTTTGTTGCAAATTAATCGCTTTGTTGTCATTTATACATGTATTTAACTTAACTAAAGGTTTATTGTTGGCAGCTCTACCATGTATATATAATATGTATGTCCCTTTTTGTCATATATAAAAATAAGAAGATGTGGTATGATTGCCAATGAGACAACTCTCCACAAGAGACCAAATGACACAGAAATTAACAACTATAGGTTACCGTACGGCCTTCAACAATGAGCAAAGCCTATACCGCATAGTCAGCTATAAACAGCCCCGAAATGACTAATGTATAACAATTCCAACGAGAAAACTAACGGCCTAATTTATGTACAAAATAATGAACGAAAAACAAATAAGTTACACAACAACAAACGACAACCACTAAATTACAGGCTCCTGACTTGGGACAGGCACATACAGAATGTGGCGGGGTTAAACTAGTTTGAAGGCGCCAACCCTCCCCCTAACATAGGACAGTGGTGTAACAATACAACATAAGAACAATCTTTAAACATCATTTGGAAAAGGCTTAACTCATCAGATGGATACAAATAGAAATACATCTATCAAAAACACATAGTGGATGTGGCAGGGTACTTATACATCCTTCTCTTTCAAATATTTGGCTTTGAGTGTTCAAATGAAGGTAAATCCATAAAAGAGCTTCTGACACATAACACTTTTTTTTTATCAACAGTAGTATTAAAAATTTCTTGCATCGTTTGATCGTTAAGCCTTGTTGCAATTTGTAAATTAGTGACCGACCATAGAATTTGAAAAATTGCAAAAATTAATGTCATTATTTTTTTTAACTCGCTATTCTGGTAATATTATTAGCTACACTTTCTTTCAACATGCTTAGATGTAAATATAATTTTCAACAAACAGTTTCATTTTACACATACTTAAATACATATACATTTCCTGTGTTTGAAATACAAGTAAACGCGTCAAATGTCTCTCCCGCCAGTGTGATTTCATATCCTGTCATTGTATTTGCTGTAAAGGTGAGAGTCCGTTGTAAAGCAATATCATTCCACGTGTCAGCGCTGTTATGCAATTCTGCTGGTAAGGTACATGTGCAACCTGCAAAAGTAAGAGAGAGGAAAAGCTGATGGTAAATTGAACGTGCAACCTGTATAACTATTATAGAGGAAAATAACAAATAATAGTTCGTTGTCGTTGTAAAGACAAACAACCATACACTTTGGATGTAAATATCTGTGTAAACAATTGTCTGATTCATCACGTAAAATATCGAGAACCAAATACACGTATATCATTGTAAACGCAGAGGGATTACCCGTGGAAGGAAACTCTTCCAGCAAACATTTCCCGACAAATGTAAAAAAAAAGTGATATCCAACAAAGAATCATTTTGATATCAAATAAGTGTAAAGACATGGATCTGCTGTCTAACAGTGAACCATGACACCGGGTTCGATAAAACTTTTGTCGATAGAAAATCGATCTGTGTCATTGCTGTGAAAAGTGACGAAGAGAACAACTAATCGAGCTGATCTGTTATCAGACAATGATCTTTAGACAGTATTTTTAAACATGGCGTAAGATCAACAAACATAATTGAATTAATAAGTCATTTCAGTTTCTTGTATTATCCTCAATTAATTGTGGGGCACTACGCTAGGGTGTTGTGTTGAAGAATATGTGCACCTGTTAAACATAAAAGTAACAATAAAAAAACCATACCAAATAAAATTGAGAATGGAAATGGGGAATATGTCAAAGAGACAACAACCCGACCAAAGAGCAGATTACAGCCGAAGGCCACCAATGGGTGTTCAACGCAGCGAGAAAATCCCACACCCGGAGGTGGTCCTCACCTGGCCCCTAAATAAAATTGTGTACTGGTTCAGTGAAAATGGACGTCACACTAAACTCCAAAACATATAAAGGAACTAAAATTAAAAAAACATACAAGACTAGCAGAGGCCAGAGGCTCCTGACTTAGGACAGGCGCAAAAATGCGGCGGGGTTAAACATGTTTTGTGAGATCTCAACCCTCCCCCTATACCTCTAGCCAATGTAGAATAAAGAAACACATAGCAATACGCACAGTAAAACTCAGTTTAAAATAAGTCCGAGTCCGATGTCAGAATAGGTAACAAAAGAAACTAAGCAAAATGACAATGATACATAAATTAACAAAGGACTACTAGCAATTACTGACATGCCAGTTCCAGACCTCAATTAAACTGATAGAAAGATTATGTCTTCATCATATGAAAATCAGGTACAATTCCTCCCGTTACGGGTTTAGTATCGTACCATCATAAAATATATGAGAAGAACATAACCCGTATCATGCCAACAACTGGTTTTAGAATAAATGTGTTTCTTTCCGATGCAAAGACCCTATGAGTGAATCAATATTAATACCTAAATATGCAATCCTTAATGATCTGACAACAGTATCGTAACTATATCCCTTCCGAATAAGTCTGTTTAATGGTTTGGTTAGCTCTTGAGGTGAATGCCGATATCTTTTGTGCTTTGTTAAGAATATTACCATAAAATATTGTATGTGAAATACCTGAACGTATAAGATGTCTGCATGTTGATTTGTTTTTACGAATGATGTCCTTGTACCGATGATAAAATTTAGTAAATGTTTTGACTAGCTTGTGATATCGAAAACCCTGGTGTAATAATTTTTCAGTAATGCAGAGACTTCTTTCGTTGAAATCAAATACGTTGTTACATACACGAGCGAATCGAACAAGTTGAGATATATTAACACCATAAGATAAACACCAAAATATACTTTAAAGTTCAGAATGTGTCTTATGTTACATAAATTTATATATTTAATCATTATGTGACTAAGACCTTTCTTTTCTGATGTTATAGATTGGTGAGCCTGGGTCGATGAACTCACAAACTGAATATAAGTCATCAAGTTTGTGAGTCAGCGGCCAACTTTACACATCAATAACCTTTAGAAAAAAATAGTTCATTGTATATCATAGTCCTTATATTTTCTTCCAAAACATAATTTATTTTTTCAACCTCAACTTTATTGAATCCCCGGGATTCAAGGCATGTGTATTGCACATTCAAATACATGTACATGTATCACAGTCAGTGCAATCGATCTAATGTTTTACATGTTTTACAACGAAAAAAAGTTTGGCTTCATGGTCTGTCGAAATGTAAACCAAAGAAAAAACGGACCAATCACAATCAAGTATTCATAGATATGCAAATCATATAAATAATATTACACAATGTTTATTTTAGATAATTAATTACTAGTTTGAAGCTAGCCGTCGATAACAACCGGCGTTAATAGTCATGAGGCCATCCTTCAATGATATTCATGAGTCGTCAGTAATATTCATGAGATGACTTGCGTTCGATGAAGTGTTGTAAGAAACTATGATCAATTATTATGATTAAATGACGTTTTTTGTTTATATTTGATATTGTTTCAAACAGGCAAGTCAATATGTGTCTTCTTTGAGGTCCGCGTAATAATCAATTATGGAAAGGAACTATTGGTCTTCTGCAAGGTCTGTGTCTTTTAACAACATTTAAAATGAAAGTAAGAAAAGGTTAATGCTTCCATAAACATAGAACCAAGAACCGATCTATTAAAAATTCTGTGATTAGTGAAATAATGTAAACTGAAACAACAATAAATAAAAGGATGATTAAATAAAGAAATTTAACGATTACTTTCAATAAAGAAATTGAACGAAAGAGATAAAATATGCTTATTTATAAATCTTGAAAACGGGACATTCCATCGGACAAATTAAATAGAACAGTTCTTATAAATATTTCTGACTTCTCGAAGTATTTAAATATTTACCAACTATACATTACAGGTGAACTGAAAGAAATGAAAAAGGAATTAATCGCATATGGGCATTCCATAATCTGTTCGTTGTCTACAAATTAGATCTCACCTCAATAGTACTACATACCGTAAATGCGATCGTTTATCTTCAATTTTAAACAGACCAGACAAACAAAAAGTTTTACAATCAAAGAAATAAAAACTGACTGTTACTTTATCAATGACCTTTCATTATTCAAAACTACGGAGACCAATCAGAGTCTTAACATAATCAGGTTATTGCAATTCAGATGTAGGCATTGTCTCTAAAATGGCCCAGAGCACTTATACCCTAGACCCGTACGAGTTAGTCAGCAAAGGGTAAGGGGAGTACCCTGGTATATCATAAAGTCAAAATTAACTATTGCCGGCTGGCCAAACTAATAGATTCTCCACGTGGGCCATGATACCAGAGGTAGAGGTATGTATTGTCTTTAAAATGGCCCATAGAGTTTATGCCCTAAACCCGTACGAGCTTGTCAGCAAAGAGTCATAGGAGGCAATAGAAGTCGAAATAAACTATTGCCTCCTGGCCAACTTAAGAAATTCTCCACGTGGGCCATTATACCTGAGGTTGAGTTAAGCATTGCCTCTAAAATGGCCTATAACACTTATTCCCTAGACCTGTACGTGTTTAACAGCAAAGAGTTTAAAGGGGGAGGGGGTACACCTGTATATCACGAAGTCGAAATAAACTATTGCCGACTGGCCAAACTAAGATGTGTATAATTTTTTTCATTATGTGTCATATATTGATTCCCTTTAATTCCTTAATTATATTTGTTAAATCACTAATGTCAAATATTTAAATACTTCGAGAAGTCAAAGATGAATTGATTATTGATAAGAACCGTATTTATATGGATTGTTTGAGTGTATGTCCCATTTTGAAGAAGCATATGCATATGTCATCGCTTTTGTTCAATTTCTTTGTTTACAGTAATCTCTAAATATCTATATTTAATCATCTTTTTATTCATTGTAGTTTCAGTTTACATTATTTCACTAATCACAGATTTTAATGTATCGTTTCTTGGTTTTATGTGTATTGAGGCATTAACCTTTTTATTTACTTTCATTTTAAATGGTGTTAAAAGACGCGGACCTTGCAGAAGACACCTAATGATTTAAGATTTTATATTGTTATAAACAGCAGAACCATATTGCCAATGGATATTTACAGCAAAAAGTAGTTCTATTGTCACAATCTATTAATTACCACACCTCTTCATCGAACGGTCTCATCTCATGAATATTATTACCGTCAATAACAGTCGACTATAAAAGGCCCCGACATGAAAAATGTGAAACAATTCAATTGAGAAAACTAACAGCCTAATATAGATCTATTATAAAACCATTTACTAAAAACAACATGCCATGACAAGCAGACATGAACCAACGACAATAATCGAACAGCAGACCCCTGACTTGAGACAGACACATAAAGCGGGGATAATAATGTTTGAGAGCAATGTATGCTTATCTTGACTGTGAAATATCTCGTGTTTCATTTGTAATCCCCGATTGAGTGAAACTATAATGACCTCAGAAGATGACTGAGGTAAAAATACTTCTATCGCCCGGCAGTAAAACCCATTTCAATGGGGCGTCTATTTTGGCATGCGAAATGAATAATTACATGGAGGAATCAACATCCTCTGCCTCGTATAGGGAGAGTTAACATCATAGCAAACAAACTTGAATCAGCCCTCGAAGGAGTCGGTACTATGTGACATGTTGCAGTATATTTTTCTTCCCTTCCTGCATGCATATTCAATGTAAACTACTTCCAAGTTACAGAAAAATATTTCTCACCTCGACTTCCATCCTGTTCGACCAATTTTAAAGAACCTTAATCTGCTTATTGCTTTTATTGTAAATTTTTTATCGTCCTGAATATGCATTTTATATTTGCTGCTGTACGATCAGCTAATAACAAGTAATTGTCCAATGCAGCCAAAACTTCAAATAGATATAAGAACATGTGGTATGAGTCCCAATGAGACAACTCTCAATCCAAGTCAAATTTATAAAAGAAAACCATTATAGGTCAAAGTACGGTCTTCAACACGGAGCCTTGGCTCACACCGAACTACAAGCTATAAAGGGACCCAAAATTACTAGTGTAAAACCATTCAAACGGGAAAACCAACGGTCTAATCTATATAAAAAACGAGAAACGAAAAAACACTTATGAACCACACATCAACAAACGACAACTACTGAACATCAGATTCCTGACTTAGGACAGGTGCAAACAATTGCAGCGGGTTTAAACGTAAAAGTTGGTATTTGCCGTTTTCTTGCTGCTTAGCATGCAGCATTTATGAATATTGGTAAAAGCAGCAGCTGGTCGGTTCGGTGTGCAAGGTATTATGTCTTCCTACATGTAGTATGTTAAACATCTGGGTTAATATGCATAATACTACTCAAGTTAAGATTTGTTCCGAACGGACGGATTTTTCTACATGTCCTACGATAAATTAGTACTACGATTGTATATCTTAACTTAAGTGGTTTTATGCATATCAGCCCAGATACAAAGTGTCGATATAAATCCGCCTCTAAATGCATGTAGTATTTGCCACTAGACGCTAAATATCTATATCTTATTAAATTATTTTTTTGTGTATAGTTCTCTAATTGTTTATTTAAAGCCATATATCATTGTCTTTTATCCTTGGTGAATAGTTGACGCATTGACAGTTATACCAAATCTCATTATTGTTATATAATTATAAAATATAATTATTACAATTATCGCACTGTCCAAAGTGACGGAACCAATTGTTTTGCTAAGAAACAATGTTTTGATTAATCATATATGGTCTTGTCCATAATTACAGTAATTGAAAACAATTTTTTACTCTGAACATTCTATGGTTATTACAAAGATTGAATATCATTTTTAAATTATTAAATATTTTTTGCTGGTAAAAATATATTTATGTTTTAAGGTTGGTTCCAATAATTTTTCGTTTTGGTAGATAGAATGGTAAAAAAAACAGTAATGAAAAAAAATGAATAATAATGAAACGTCTTTTTTGTATTAGTTTAGGTAGGATTTTTTTTTTGTAGCTATAGATAATCGGATTTTTGGCGGACGAAAAATAATCCCAACGGATTAAAAGATTGATTGTTGGTTGCTTAACGTCCAGTGGCAAATATTTCATGCATATTTAGGAACAGTATACTGTAAAAATTCCACACTTTTCTGTTATTATATAATATATAATTCAGGGGCGATTTGATAAAAAAATAGCATTGACTCTTAATGAGGTATTTGATTTTGGGGTAATTTGAAAAAAAACAAAAACAAAAAACATACCAACCCAATACATGTTAAATTATCATGATTATGAGAGTTTCCATTGAAAAAAAAAATAATTAAAATAAAACCAACTAGCGAAAGAGTCCAAATGTTGCCCAGTCTTTAATTTTATATGAGGGGCCTTGGTGGCCGAGTGGTCTAAGTAGCTACTACTGTATTCACTAGCCAGTCAACACTGACGTTGTGAGTTCGAACCCCGCTCGTGTGGGTGCACTCGACTCCAATCTTAATTGACTAGGATTGTCAGTTTTCCTATCGAAGGTCGTAGTTTTCTCCGGGCACTCCGGCTTCCTCCACCAATAAAAACTGGCCGCCACGAAATAGGCTAAAAGCGGTGCTTAAAAGTGGCGTTAAAACACCAAAATAATTTTCTATGTTGTGTTTTGTATATTGTTGTTCGTCTTTACACATTTGGTTGTTTTTTTCTTTTTTTTCCATGGCATTGTCAGTTAATTCGTTTTCGAATTATGAGTTTGGCTATCTCTTTGGTATTTTCCACCTCTCTTTTATGTCACAACGTTTTAACTTATCATAAATACACAGATGTAATAACTTCTTGAGGAAATTCCAATTCGAAAGTGAGCTATATAAGGCCTCGCCACGATAAATGTGAACCTATTCAAAAGAGAAAAACAACGCCCTGATTTATGTTCAGAAATTTAGCGAAAGTTGGTGCAACTTCCAAGTAAACTTACGAAGCTGCGATAATGTAAAATTTTAGAAGACATGAATAAAACTCTTCAAAAATGATGTATATGTGAAATAAATGGCCATCAATTCCTTTTAATATTATAATATGTTTAGCTACTAATAATTAATACACATACCTGATTTTTTGAAAATCATCCATGTTAATAGTACCACACGTTGAAAAGCCCAAAATATGTCCATCCTACATGTTTAGAATATATACATATTATACACAAGAAGTACGTTTTTGTCACGGATGATTCAAAATATGCAAAATATATTTTCGATACAATATATCATTAAGTATGTTTCACGAACCTAATCTAATGCAGGCGTGTGGATGTATCAAATTGCTTCCTTTTCATATACTTTACGTCGCACGTTGAATCTTAACATTGAACAATTATCAAACACCACTGATTTTATTTTACTTATTTCAAGTACTCCTACTGTGCTGGTATTTTGATGTATTCACAACATAAACTCGTGCAATAAATGCCGAAGTACTTTTTTAAATAGTTGCCAGCTTTTATACATCAAATAATAATTTGAAGATTAAATATACAAATCACTCAAGATGTTTATTGAAATTTCTAATGAATTAAATTTTCAGTTTTTAAATTATTCTATATCATGTTGTTACGCCAACTTTTAAATCTTATTTCTTAAAATGATAGACTGGATATATTAATGTATGTAAATAAAGCTTACATAACGTGAAGATCAAATGTCGATGAGGAAACCCTGTCATGAAAAGAATTTAGTAGGGTCTATTTTATTGAATTATGAATATATGACATCATCAATATTTACAATAAGTATACTTAACAGCGTAAGAAACGCACAAGTTCCATTAATCACTTTGAAGTAAAAATTTCTAATGCATATTACTTTTTAAAAATTTTTGAAATGAGTCAACAATTCTGTGAAAAAAGTGTCTTCAGTTTAATGTTTAGACTTGACATATAAAAAAACATTTTTTCAACCCCAAAAACGAAAACTGTAGCCACATTTTTGAAAACAATGAATACGGCATATATTTTCACCTGAACACAGAGGAAACTGATTTGATGCTTAGTGTCTTAAACGATTTTTTTTCTTTAGAGACCAATTTGAAATTGACTCATATGAGACTTTTGATTTTTGACTTTTCTGAGTGACATCAAACTCAAATTTCTGTGTAAGACGTGGATTATTTTTACTAGAGGTCTACATAATTTTTTTTAAAGAATTTGTAGAGGTGGTGCATTATCTAAGCTGTTGAGTATAAAAGCGTCCTGTTACCGGGACATTTTCAATGCTATTGTAATATTGAATTTACTTGTGTTATTGACGGGGCAAGAATGATGGTAGCACATAGTTAATGTATATTCACGACGAGGACATCATTATTAGAAATAAATCCAATCTGGAGGTTATGCGGAGGTGGATAAGAAAATACCATTTATACCGCTACAATGAAAGAAAAACAAATGAGGCAGGGGCCAACTAAGGACAACCACTGCATTAATTACATGTTCCTGGCCTAGGACAGGCACATGAAGAATGTGCCGGGTTTAAAGTATTTGTAAGTGTTCCTTTCTCATTTTAACTTGGGACAGTTATGTTACAGCAAGGAAAAGGAACACACTGCAATAAGTTGAAAAATGATTGACCCATTAGATCAGTATTTAAAAAATAAATACAAAAACCAAAAAGACGAAAGGCACATAGTACTCTCGGTTTCTGTAACTTAACGCAAAACCCAATTTCGACCAAAAAAATGCACCATGTTCTCTCATAAAGCAAACTTTCTAACCAATACAAAAATAGGAAGATGTGGTATAATGTCTGGTAGGTTAGATACTCAAGTAATTAAATTATACACTAAAAATAAATATAAGATGTGGTATGATTGCCAATGAGACAACTCTCCACAAGAGACCAAATGACACAAAAATTAACAACTATAGGCCACCGTACGTCCTGCAATAATGAGCAAATCCCATACCACATAGTCAGCTATAAAAGGCCCCGAAATGACAAATGTAAAACAATTCAAACGAGAAAACCAGCGGTCTGATTTATGTAAAAAACAAAGAACGAAATAGAATATGATGTACAGCAACAAACGACAACCACTGAATTACAGGCTCCTGACATTGGACCGGCACATACAGAATGTGGAACTTTATACAAAACACCTCGCGAAGAACATGCAAAGCATTAAATATGGTTCATTTGTTTTTGCATAAGGAACCATTATAACTTTTTGACTGAACTCGTTCAAGAGAAATCCCTGCTTTTTTTTAATTTATTATAATTTATTTGTTAGTTCATGGATCACATTTGTATTTGCGTAAAAACCAATACACTGTGTTCATACTACCCAGTCAAAAAATGTTTTGACTCGTAATTATCTAATTTCAGTACGAAAACACCAGCAAAAATTTAAGATCTCTGAGAAATTATTTGTTATTTGTATGATTCAGAAACTATAGAACTTAAATGCATGTTTAACTATTGTTGGCTGTGAGTGTAACATTTTCATCAATAGTTCAGAATTAATTGAGGAATAAATGACCATCCACTGCAAAACAATGACCAGAGTGACCCCTTTCCAAGTTTGGCCATTTTTTTTGTACATCTTACGTCTCTATTGTATGGAATGAACTAGATTGGTCACTTTTTGCACTGATATATTGATATCCATTTGCTGAAGGAAAGACATTGGAATTGTCAGAAATGAAAGACCCGGCTAAGTAAATGTTGTTTACAACATCGGTGCCCGGTATTGTAATTATACGGGACCCGGTTTTAGTTTCTCTTTAGAAATTCAAATATTCATTAGCATCGTCAAATCTGTTGTAATTTTAAAATGCCAGTAGGTTTTTACTGGATGATTGATTGTAATGAATGTTGTTTATTAAAAGTCTAGGAACAAATATGTCATGCGTATTCTGGACAAGAAATAGATAGTAGTCTATGCAATAGGTCAGTTCTGCAAAGGAGATCGACCGGAAAAAGGGCTAGAAAACGAGGGTCTGTTGGAAAGGGGAGATAAATCTTGCCTTGCAACAGGACACATAAGGACTCCTCAAAGAATTATTGTAATGGGTTCTTTAACACACACCCCTCTCTCTCTCTCTCTCTCTCTCTCTCTCTCTCTCTCTCTCTCTCTCTCTCTCTCTCTCTCTCTCTCTCTCTCTCTCTCTCTCTCTCTCTCTCTCTCTCTCTCTCTCTCTCCACGAGGCATCGGAAACAACGTTTTCGTTCCGCCCGGACGTTACATTCATCACAGCTAATCAGACACCTTTACTTAGCTGGACGGAAGAAGTCCAAGGGATGACCATATTTTCTTAGTCCACTTAACTCTTGGGGTTTGACTGTTTGTACAATATCATTGGGGAAGATCGAATAAACGGACTCAGGCCAAAATAAAATGTTTATGCGTTTACTGTCCCTGTACCTACTCTAGTAATACGTGCCATTAGTCAAATAGTCTCCACCCCCTTTTACCCCGAAAAAAATATGAAAATAAAAAAATACACGTAGCTACTAACCGTATTTGATTTTATCACGTGGCAGTGCATGAACACATGCATATTTTGCTTTGTATCATGACGAAAATATGATCAATGAAATTGTAGCAACATTGCAAAGTACATTTGTACTTGTTACATCATGTCAATACTTATATTTTGGCATTACACTGGGTTATGCTTTTCTCTGACTGCTTGGCCGTTATTATATTGAATCTGTTAGAGGTGTATTAATTGATAATAATTGTTTAATACTTGCTAACATATGATTTGTTTATTAGTTGAAATGGACTTTGAACTACCTTTCGGTAACTGCAAGTATTCTTAGATCGGTACTTAGTGTCTTTTGTTTCTCCTTTTCAATATATATAAGTTGCATTGGACACATACAATCTTGTGTTACCGTCAACAAAGTTATTGTCCATACAAATAAACGGTTACCACGCATAACAGTCGATTTGAATAAGTTAAGGAGGTTCTTGACCTAATGTTATTTGTGAAGACTCTGAGATTTTACACGCTATATAATTATTGACAAAGAAAATTGCTCTTCTTAATGAAAACATCTTTGTAAAGTTTTTAAAACCAAATATTGCTTTAAAAAAATATGTCGTACATGTATACTTCAAAGTACTCCCCTGTGCACTGAAACGTTGACGCTCCAAACTAAATATGAAAAACAAAAATTGTGAATTTTCAAACGATGTAAAAATTCCACGAATCTGTATATCAGCGTACTGTCATATATGAAACTATCTAATGGGGATAGTATTTCCCAGTTCAAATGCAACACCTATAACTGCACGTAATATCCATAACTACGACGCAACAATGCACATAAAGCAACTTTTATTCATCTCGAAATTTAGTTGTTATATCACACGGACTTGAAGGTTTATTTTTGAAATTTTATAAAGTGGTTAACTCCTTGATCTTTTTAAGGAAGATTTATAGCCGACTGTACGGTATTAGTTTTGCTCATTGTTGAAGCCGTACAGTGACCTATAAGTTGCTGAAATCCGTGATACTTAGTCTCTACAGGATATTTATATTTGCAATTGGCAATCATACCACATATTTTTATTTTATATTAATTGAAACATATTGTTCACGTTTATGCAGTGAATTATTACTGTATATCACATACGTTTTTACAATCAATACAATTACAGAGACTGCATAAATTGGGTTGTTGCAGTATAAATAAATTGCTTCGCCGAGCGCAGCTTGATACGACCGCAGAGGTCCAACCCTGAACATTTGGGGCAAAAATGGACACAATATTCGCGCTTGATACAGGTCTGAATTTGGATTGTAATACTATTTGACACATAATAGGTTTCTGACACAGAATAACTGTAGTCAAAGAACTTAGAATTGGTTATATGATTTGAATTTATATTCAATTTTTTGCTTTGTGCAATACACTATACTGTTGCGAATTGACCCCCTCCCCCTTTTTTAAAAAATGAATTGACAGTTATCACCTCAAGACAATACAAAAATTCTTTATACATAATTTAAAAGCAGTGTAAGGGAGATAATTCAAAGTTGTGTTTGAATTACCTCCCTTACACTGTAATGTGTACTTAAGTAATTGTCCATTAACCAGGACACCCTTGTTTTTTCTCACTTTTTTGCCTCTAATTCCTAAACGGTTTGAGCCATAACCCCCCAAAGCCAATCCTAACCATCCTTTTGTGGTATGGAAACTTGTGGTATAATTTCAGAGAGATCCATAAACTGTTTTACAAGTTATTGTCATGAAACTAGAAAAATAGATATAGGAAGATGCTTATTTGGGCCCCTTTTTGGCCCCTAATTCCTAAACTGTTGGGATCATAACCCCCAAAATCAATCCCAACCTTCCTCTTGTGGTTTTAAACCTTATGTTTAAATTTCATAGATTTCTATTTACTAATACTTAAGTTATTGTCCGTAAACCAAATGTCTTCGGACGACGACGACGACGACGTGAAACCAATATACGACCGCAAAGTATAAAAATTGAGTAATTGCAGTATAAACTTGAATTGAATTCTATTTGAGAATTAATCTGCTAGAAAATAATTTTAAACTGATTGTTTTACGATAAATTTAGTAAATATGTATTTCTTTATGAAACATTTGAAATGATAATGATAATAAACAACTATGAGAATAGGAAAAGCTATAAAAAGCACAATAATGCAGCAGCACTAAATTCAAGCACTATATGATAAGAGAAATGGCATTGGATGTACAATCTTCAACATAAGTATCATATTCCTTTACGTCTTTCACTTCTTTTCTTTCTCTTATCATTTATCCTGATATCTTTAATTTGTGGCGGATGAATAATCGTTCCATTTCATTTTTTTCCGCTCAACTTATTTTTTCGAACACAATTTTTTTCCCGAGTATCCTATTACCCTGGCTGCCCCTTGAATAAAGTTAAAGCAAATAGTAAACTTGTTTGTAGCGTTGATGATATATAGTGTATTGTCTCGAAAAGCTGTGCATCTCTTTCGGTAATTAATTCTTTCTGTTTTTCATTGTTTTACTTTTTCTGTTTTCGCACTATACAGCAACAATATAAGCAAATTACAATTATTGCAAGTATGAGAAATACTCCACTGATAGTTCCCGCAATAATAGAATTACTCTGTTCATTTGACATTGCTGGGTATGCTTCTGAAATAGATGAGAAATAGAAATTGTCAAACTACTAGCAAGTCACAGACACAAAAACAATGCGTTGAAGTATTACATTCTGGAAAGTGTAAAAGATCTTGTGATCACCAATTCCATTTAACGTTTTACAGTCCATAACTATATATTTATGTATACATGTAGTATGCAATACTATATATTTATTGTAACCAAGACTAGTATATAATTAGGCTTAAACTACTGCGAATCCGACTGTGCCGGTTCTAGCATTGTATGGAGTCACCCTGTGTTTTTGAGAATTTCAAATTATTAGACTTAGTGTTACTGTATTAAAACTGAATGTAACAACTCCTTCAGCAAAAGTTAAGCTTCGACGTTTTTAATCTGGTTATTCTAGAACCACGAGTCTTGTGCACTGAAAACTGTCTCTAGCGTATAATATGATAAAAAAACGTTCAGAGAGGCGGCGTTAGTAATATTACTTAAGTATCTAACCTACTTAAGTACTCATAATTTATGTGAGAGGAAATTTTATTTCTACAGTATGGACCTCGGTGACCGAGTAGTAGAAAGTCTACTGTATCACTGGCCTGTCAAAATTTAGGTTTTTAGTTCGAACCCCTGCACGTGGCAATTATGTTCGACTCAAATCTTAATTGGTCCGAGTACACAGTTATTTCGTAGTGCATTTCTTTTAGACAATGAATGAAAATTAAAAAAATCCCACCTGCGCTTTCTCAATAATATTTTTACAGTGTGTTGTACTACTTTTGGGACAAATTATATCAAAATTATAGAAAACTTCATCGGCTCTAACTCAAAATATGGGCAATTTCATGTTAAGGGGGTCTTCAAATCTTTTGACAGCTTCCGAAGTGCTAATTTTGAACATTTTTCAGCTGGACCAAATCACTACTTTACTTTAAAATTCATGACCCAAATTTTTTTTACAGTGTCATTTTCACCCCCCTACTTACTATTTGAGTCATAAAACATGGAGAAATAAATTTGGAAGGGGTATAAAAAAATCGACAAGTAACAGACTGTCCACACTAGGGACTATAATCAATCAATCAATCAATCAATCAATCAATCAATTACAATCAATTAATCACTTGTGAAAGGAAAATTGCTTGATTTTTCTTGTAAGCGGGCGATACCTCTATTTGAAAAATATTTAATGCAATGTTGTGTTTACGGACGTAGTAAGTTACAGCTACATATGTAAACAATAAGGAGATATATGATTAGTGAACACTGAGCCATCAAGCATTTTTTTTTAATTTTGTTTCGGGTCTTCCATCATGACAAGACCCCTACGTATTGTTCGAAATCCATTAAAACTTCAATGGTCGTTAAAGCATTACAAGAGATGGGGGTAGGTCAAATAAGTTTCATTGATTTGAGATATGCCGATAGTATGGTATTGCAACTGCCTACCAAATATTATTGGCTAACCATTAGTAGATCTCCTTCAATTGAAAATGTTAACGTCGCAGACGCTGGGAAAAATATATCTTTGTCGAAGCGAAAATTAGGTAGGTTGTAAAAAATGGGTTGACAAATATAAAAAAGGTTGATGGAACAAAATAATTTGCTTGCAATATGTCACCTAGATACCCGTTCCAAGTGTTATTGCAATGATGCTTTTATGAGGGTCTTGATGGGGGAACTCCAATTCTGTATTCTTTGATGTTTTAGGTCAATTTTCTCTTTTCTTTTTATCTTTTGCCCATTATTCTCTATTTTTTATACTTTAGCACTCCATTATTTTCTATTCTCATTTTTTTGGGGTCGATTTTTCTTTATTCTTTATATTTTTTGGCCTTCTTCCGCACTTTTTATCCATTATTCTCTGTTCTGTAAATCCCATCCAGACCCTATTTTATATATCCTGTCCCAAAAACAAGATATTCGGTTTATGGTTTCTAACTGAAATAAAATGTACCGCCAAGGTTGTCTCTTGGTAGCATGCATGCATGCCTCACGTGTGGTATGTTGTGGCTTCTATCAACGAAACTATTCCATCAATGTATTTAAAATTGGTATTTGCTGTTTCTCCGCTAAGCACGCAACATTTAGGGGTAAGAGCACAGACTGGTCGGCTCGGTGTAAGAATAACGTGTCCGGATAGGGAAACATTTCATCCTGCGTTAACAAGCACGTTAAAAATCTGATTCAGGGTGTCGGTCTAGTACATGTTACAAAAATTATTTATTGTCATATCACATTAACTTATTATAGTCCTGCATATGCAGTTAATTTGCAACTGGACGTTAAACAACAATGCATCATCACCTTCGCCATCATCAAAATAAACTGGAAAAACCCGTGAAATAATAATTTAATAATTAAGGAAACGCTCTGAAAGATGACTCTTCTTTTTAAATTCTTTTGGAACACTTACTGCATACTAGCTTTCCGCCAGACCATTGACCATTGTTCCCACATACTCTTGTTTCATCGCCAGAGAAATAATCGTATCCGGAATCACAGTTATACACTACGGTTTCAGTAGGATTATTTCCCTTCAATTGCCTTGTAACATGATCACTCACGCCAGGATCTGGGCATGTAATTGCTAAAAGTATTAATAACGAATCAGTGTTTGTATAAAATTACAAAAGAGAGGACTCAGAGGAAGATACAAAAGGGATATTCAAAATCATAAGTCGATTACAAACTGACAACGACATGGCAAAAAACGTAAAACGACCAAAACACAACATAGAAAACTATGACTGAGCAACACGTTCCATTATAACTTATCTTTTTAATAAATGTTTATTGATAGCATTTAAATTTTAGAAAAATTAACTGCACGGATGGACGACAAAAATTGAGATATGTAGTGAAATTAAAACAGAACTGATAAGGCGGAAATAGCTTAGATAGAATTTTCATTGATTTTAATGACAAATTTTACGAGGACACGTTGAATACTACCGTTAGGTGTTTTGAATTTCTTTTATTATCATGCATTTCTTATTGATGAAGATTCACCATAGACACAATGTACGAGGCTTATACATGTGGATTTCAAACGCGTGTTTCGTAGACATACATGTAAGACTCATCAATATTGCTCGAAGCAATTCAATATTCGCTCTTGATCAAAGGTTATTAGTTCAATATTGATGATAACTATGTATTTTATAATCGATCCATAATAGAAAGAGGTTCATGTATACACTTGTATTTTATGATTAAATTGTCAGACTCACTTACAGTACCATTTATTCAAATACAAAAAATAAACTCTTTTATTTGTTTTATGATATACTGTGAAGAATTGTATCAAGAAATGCGCTCCAAACAAAAATAAGGAGATGTGGTGTGATTGCCATTGAGACAACTATCCAACAAAGTTCAAATGAAGTGGATGTAAGCAACTATAGGCAACCGTACCGTATGGTCGGCTATAAAAGGCCCCGACACGAAAAATATGAAACTATTGAAATGAAAAAAAACTAACAACCTTATATATAGCAAAATAATGTACAAAATAAAACAAATATGACAGACATGCACTAACGACAACTACGTAACTACAATCTCCTGACTTGGGACAGGCACATAAATAATTTTGTGGGGTTAAACATGTTTAAAGGCGCCAACCCGACCTTAACCTGGGACAATGATGTAACACTACAACATGAGAACAAACCATAAAAATCAGTTTAAAAGGACTTAATTCCTCAGATCGATACAAAGCAGAAAAACATCTAACAAAAACCCAGACCGGACGTGGCAAGGTATTTATACTTCTATCATAACACAAAAGACACAAAGTATAGACCTGAGAGTACTCACAGCTATTTCAAAAACAACAACAACTAATAAAAAAATCATGCATTTAAGACTAAAACATCAACCAGTACTCGTCCAACATCCAATGGATTCAGTGAAAACACGTCATTAACAGATTGTACACTGTAGATTGAATGTGCATATGTGTATAACAATAGTTGTTTTTAAGGTCAGTTAATTTACTCGGATTATTTGTTCCCGAGAGAATAAAGGGTATAGCAGATATCATAGCATTGTTTATAGCAATGTTTCCAGAGAAAATTCTGTTAGAAGGAACAAATACTGTAAATCAGAAATTATTGCGAGGTGTTTAGTATTGCGAATAATGTGACTGGGTGAGAATCGCAATAATAAGAACTCGCATTCTGACATCTGATGCATACACCTGTATGCAGCTTTTCATGAATTCGCAATAAGTAATTCACATTTATGTCCATTCTTCAAAAATAAATGCACGCAATATTTTCTGAATCTACAGGATACGTTAACAAACATTTCATAAAGTGTAAAGAGATTGAAAAGTGCATTTATTTATCCAAAGGAATACTCCGAAATAAACAATATAATAAGTAATTTATTATTTTTGATAATTAATTGTGAAGATTTACTATATACGCTACACATTAATTACCGTTAAATACATTCAAAGCTTTAATTGAAAAAGAAGTTGGACGGATATCGTTGTGTACATGTATGATATGTCTCAAAGTTGACTATGCAGTGACCAATCTGCCGAATATAAATTCATCTTCATAAATCATTTATTACTTCAGAAGAAAGTAAATGCTTGTTTATCCTTATCGCTGCCATGGTCCTATTTTGGCAGCTTTGTCTGATCTGCTTTTAGATTAACCAACCTAAGAAATATTCAGTTCAATTAGAAGGTAAGTTACTCGGGAGTATAGAAATACATAGGTAATATAATAACGGCAACAGCGGAAAACTAAACCCGTATTATAGCAATTTGTGACATTTTGTTGTTTGCAATAAAATTGAATTGTTTGGTAATGTCAAGGGGGAAAAGTTATCAAAAAGAAATTTGAGACCAACATTCCAATGTAAATTCATACTGTAAATACTAATATTTTCTTGTTGCATGAAGTTGATTTTAATTGTAACCCACATTTTATACTTACTGCAAACTGGGGGCTTTCCACTCCAATTTTTATTTTCCTTACACGTGCGAACCAAATTACCAGATGTTAGTTCAAAGCCAGTGTTACATGTATATGTTAATGTATCCAGATACTTCGCACCAGTTTGTGAATATATCGTCGTAAAGACCACCGGTGCAAGACTTGGACAGGTAACTTTTGCTATATAAAATAAAAACAATTCCCCCATTAAGATTTTTAGAATGCATTATTCTATGTAATAAAATAATCCGGGCAGATAACTCCTAATTTTTCAAATAAAAACGTATAACATTGGATTTACCGCATGTGTATTTCATAGATATAAGAAGAGGTGGTATGAGTGCCAATGAGACAACTCTCCATCCAAGTCAAAATTTATAAAAGTAAACCATTATAGGTCAAAGTACGGTCTTCAACACGGAGCCTTGGCTCACACCGAACAGCAAGCTATAAAGGGCCTAAAAAATTACTAGTGTAAAACCATTCAAACGGGAAAACCAAAGGCCTTATCTATATAAAAAATGAGAAACGAGAAACACTTATGAACCACATCAACAAACGACAACTACTGAACATCAGATTCATGTTTTATATAAAGAAAATAAGTTCATAACCTTTATATATAATAGAACACACCCGCGACATCGCGGTTCCATGACTGAATCAAATTACCTCTACGTTTTGTTTTCAGACGGGATTTTTAGTATTCGTATTGTCATTTGATAAAGTCATGCTGATTATAAGGTGCACAGTTTTCTCTTCTTTTAAAGTCTTTCTGTTTTGTCATTTGATAAAGTCATGCTGATTATAAGGTGCACAGTTTTCTCTGCTTTCAAAATCTAAATCCGTCCGAGTTTTCTTACTACAACTGGAAACTACTTGTAGATATATTTTTTTGGTCAATGATTGAATTTAGCAGTGTCAATCCCTGTATAATGACGAAGTTCAACTCTGACTATGACCCGTGTATATAGCAAATCCAAAATACACCATTTGGTGGTGCGCCTGACAGAGGCGAAACATACAGATTACGTAACAGGTAACAGGTACTATTGGTATCGGTATCGGATTTGACCCGGAATTTGTTAATATCAATTATGTGGAAAACAAAAGGGCCTGCAATGGTGTAATTTTTGTTCAACACCATTGTCCTATATAAGTTAAATATAAAGTTGAATTCTTTGATTCGTCGTTTTACGTCATATGTCGGCTAACAAATTGGACCTCATTATTTTAGTAGTATAGATAAAGTTTATAATTGGTGTTCAGAGACCTCAATCGTGATGTGCCTAATTTTGTGTTAACAAGTGTTATACAGTGATAGATACGAGAATGGATTCATCATTATTTTTGAAACAATTTGGACTTCTAAATTGTTATTGACCAAACATTGTCATGCACAATAAAGCTAGTTGTTATAAATATGTTAATTATCCAAATCACCGAGGTTATAAAATTACCTGTTCAGATCATTAGAGATTCAGTATTGATTATTTAACTTAAAGATATATTGCATACTCACTACAAAGTGGAGGGCTTCCATCCCAATTTTTACCCTCCTTGCACTTCCGAACCAAATTACCAGATGCGAGTTCATAACCTGTGTTACATGTGTATGTTATCGTATCAAGATACTTTGAACCCGTCTGTACTGATACTGAGGCAAATGAAGCAGCAGAAGGATTTGGACAAGTAACTTTTGCTGCAATGATAAGAATGGTTATTTAATAACAATGATGTGTGTCTTTGTTAGACTGATCAAATCATGCCTAATGTCCAGTGGCAAATATTTCATTCGGGTTCAGGTCGCGAAAAACTTCACAACCAATACAACAGGTAGGTTCTGCAAAGTAAAGTCGACCGTATTGAAGGGCGGGAAATTTGGACATCCACTCGGAAATGATGATATGTTGGATAAGGGAAGACATTTTGACTTGCAAAAGGTAACAGGCAGCCTAGCGCTATGGAACCATAACAAATCTTTTGCAAAAGTTTTTTTCGTGGACAGTGTATTGCACTCAATTTACACAGGATATCGGATTTTACGTCCTAATTCTGAAAGGACTCTTATTTGTACATTTTTCATAGAGAAACGGGCATGTTTCTATTTAAGAAATTGTTTTACCGCAGTAAAAGAGAAGTCCAGGGAGGAACAAAATGCTATACTACCATTGGGTTCCATTTGAAGTATTTATATTAAGGAAATAAAATAAATAAGCGTCAAACTGATCATAAAAAATAATTAAAAGATATGTAACAAAATTAATTGATTGGCGTTTGGTAAGCATCACGTGACACATATCACATGCATATTCCGAAGGAACATGTGACAAGAAAAAAACATTGTATAGAGATTGTGAACAATCATTGGATATCATTTTTCACACTCCCTTCCTCTCAGAAAAATAGAACAATTTTCGATTTTGCCTGTAATTATACCTTTTTGATAAGAATTAACCTTATTTCAATGAGAAATGACAAAAATAACGGAGTTGCTAATGGAGCACAAATATTAACGTTGTATTTGTAGAAGTCCTTCCCCTAAGCAGTTTTTGTTGTCGAATGACACCAAACTTAACCAGGAAAAATCTATGTGAATTCAGTTTTTCATCCTACATTGAACTTTTGATGTGGTCCCTTACATCCAGGTAAATTGATCTCTAGTGGACATTGGATAGTTTGTTGTATCTTGTGCAATCACGCCACATCTCCTTATTATCAAATAAAACATATGTTTTCCTTCAATTTATACTAAAATTTAGAATGGAAATGGGGAATGTGTCAAAGACACAACAACCCAACCAAAGAGCAGAAAACAGCCCAAGGCCACCAATGGGTCTTCAAAACAGCGAGAAAATCACGCAACCGGAGGAGGGCTTCAGCTGGCCCCTAAAGAAAAATGTGTACTAGTTCAGCGAAAATGGACCTCACACTAAATTCAGAAACATATGAATGAACTAAAATTAAAAAAAAAACATACAAGACTAAAAAAGGCCAGAGGCTCCTGACTTGGGACAGGCGCAAAAATGCGGCGGGGTTAAACATGTTTTGTTAGATCTCAACCCTCCCCTATTCATCTAGCCAATGTAGAATAAGCAAACACACAGCAAAACGCACAGTAAAACTCAGTTAAAAAGAAGTACGAGTCCGATGTCAGAATAGGTAACAGAAGAAACTAAGCAAAATAACAATGATACATAAATTAACAAAGGACTACTAGCAGTTACTGACATGCCAGCTCCAGACCTGAATTAAACTAATTGAAAGATTATGTCTTCACCATATTAAATCAAGCACAATCCCTCCCGTTAGGGGTTTAGTATCATACCATCATAGAATATGAGAACATAACCCGTATCATGCCAACAACTGGTTTAATAAATGTGTTTATTTCCGATGCAAAAACCCTATGAGTGAATCAATATTAATTCCAAAATATGCCATCTTTAATGACCTGACAACAGTATCGTAACTATATCCCTTCTAAATAAGTCTGTTTAAAGTTTGGTTAGCTTTTGAGGTGAATGACGACATTTTTGTGATTTGTATAGAATATTACCATAAAAGATTGGAAGTGAAATACCTGAACGTATAAGATGCCCGCATGTTGATTTATATTTACGAATCATGTCCTTGTACCGATGATAAAATTTAGTAAATGTTTTGACTAGTTTGTGATATCAAAAACCCTGGTGAAATAATGTTAAGTAATACAGAGATTTCTTTCGTTAAAATCAAATACGTTGTTACATACACGAGCGAATCGAACAAGTTGAGATGTATAAACACCACAAGATGGTGACAAGGGAACGTCACCATCTAAAAATGGATAATTAACAATAGGAAATGAAAAATCATCTCTTTTATCGTAAATTTTGGTATTAAGCTTCCCGTTTTAGATATAGATATCAAGACCCAGGAAAAGGCAATGTTCATTGTTAGTATTAGCTTTATTTAAAGTCAGTTCAGCATGATAAATCTCTTTAGTGTACATACTGAAGTCGTCATTATTGAGAGCCAATACATCATTCAAATATTTAAAAGTGTTATCAAATTTTTGTATCAGATGTTGTTTGCAAAAAAGTAACTCCCGTGACATAGTGGAAACATCATGGCAAATTGGAATGTATTTAGTTAAAGGTAAGGATTTTAAGAGTGTTTGATAAATTAACAGTAAAAGGTCGGAACATGATTCCCAGGGACCCAAACTTTGGTATGCAGTCAAGGTCTGACATGTTCAAATAAATAAGATTCCACTTAATCCCATGCAGGTGTGTATATTTATGCTTCAAACTACGCGTAGGAGACGTTCTACATTCCCCGAGAACAAGCACTACAGTTCTATACAAATACTTACAGCAAACGGGACTATCATTCCAAATTTTATCTGCTTTACAGATTCGAACCAAATTACCAGATGCAAGTTCATAACCTGTGTTACATGTGTAGGTTATCGTATCCAGATACTTTGAACCTGTCTGTACAGATATTGTAGCAAAGGCAACTGCAGAAGGACTTGAACACGTGACTTTTGCTACAATGGGAACACTGAGTATTTTACAAAAACGATTAATATTTTTATTTTCGAATTTTTCCAGATTATCATATTAATTAAAGCGAATTTTCTATTATAGTACATTTGGTCCTTGTGTCTTTTTAGGTCATAAAGGTCCTAACGGTTCTACGTATTTATACATCGCTGGCTTTCAAATGTAAAAGTTTAGGAGTTGTTGATCAATGAAAATCCACAAAAGCGATGTGGACGCACGAATTTTATTTGCACTAATACCGTAGAATAAACACATCATAACTTTTTATAAGGGTAAACTGTCATTTTGAGAACATATAACTTATTGTTTAGATAAAAGTAAATGTTTTTTTTCATGCCTGATTTCTTTTTTAATTATCGAATTCTAAAAAAAATGTGGATAAGAAAAAAGCTAGATGATTTGACAAAATATGAAATCGAGTGAAATTAATATCATGTTAACAAACAGGTTTGACAGACGGATGGCCGTACGTTAGCTAACACGTTACACGTTTGATACATGTGATGTCCTCAGATATTTGTTTTGCTTTATAAGGTATAAAACCATACAATAAATGGTCGTCTTTTTGTGGTAATGCTCTTAACTGAAGTACTAGTATACATTGCAATATATACTCTGCAAACATTTCCTCAAATCAATATATATTAATAAAATGTTACACTTATTTAAGTTTAGAACGTTCCTTGACATTCAAAAGATATTCTATAAACAAACCAGATATGTCGAACTTAACCATAAATAGTAATAACATATAAAGGGTATCAATTGTATTGCACCAGATGCGCATTTCAAAAATAACTGTCTCTTCAGTGATGCTTGAGACCAAACTATTCTTTAGCCCAAAATCAAGTACAAACATTGAAGAGGGACTGATAAAACCAAAAACGAACCAAAGTAAAGCCAAACACAGACAAGAATTACAGCTCAAATATCTTATTTAAGATGCTGATTTACAAAAAAGTCCTAATTTAAAGAGACAAATGAATAAAGTGTGGTCTTATATAGAATATCAATGTCTTATATCACCAAAAAGAGTTCTAATATAAGAGAACTTACTACACACAGGAGGGTTTCCATCCCAGGTTTTACCCTCCTTACACGTCCGTACCAAATTACCAGAAGATAGTTCATAGCCAGTGTTGCACTTGTATGTTATTGTGTCAAGATAATTTGAACCAGTCTGTACCAATATTGTGGCAGAGACAACTGCAGAAGGATTCGGACATGTCACTGGCACTACAATAATTATTGTACTTATCTAATATCAAATAAATACATTTATTCTAACTATTAAGATCGATTTGATAAAAAGCATTCTCCACCAAGTTCCAAGAATATTTTCATCTTTTCTTTGCTTGGTTGAAAAGTTTGCTCTCAATTTCGATAAACTCCCAGTAATAGCTAGTTCAAGAATTTATGTCATGCGAACATTGAAACAACATGAATTTAACTTACTTAACTAACAAATTATAACGAAATTGATAAAAATTTTGTCTAACGTTTGCTTCTGGTGAAGAAGAAGTTTGAAAATATAATTTGGCTTTAATTTTGGATTACTTTACGTCAACAACATCTTTACACTTAAGTAGTAATAGTTTTTAAAGGATTTATTTTCATGGTAAACTTGTATCTACTCTTATATACACAATGCTAAACATTATTAACGACAGTATATCCGAATATTCTGCTTTTCTACGCGTAAAAAAATGATCACGTATGTTTTGCTGCGTACTAACCCCCCCCCCCCTCACCCCCCCCCCCCCCCCGAAAAAAAAAAATAAAAAAATAAAACTCATCAAAGGTCCATTTGTACCACATATAATTACAAAAAAGCTCATAAATCATTGAATGTCTCTTCTAGAAAATTCCCATTCCCTGCAGACTACAATTTACGTTTCTAATGTCATATTACAAAATAAACAATCATTTACTGCTATTGTACAATGTTGCTGATATTACAGGTTTTTACCAGCACATTTGGCCCAGGGGAGTACATGAGAAAGATAAATCTTCTTATATATAGGTAAATGTGTTGTAATCGTCAAAAAAGATTCACATAATCGATTAGAAACAGTCTTGTGTTTAAATGACCGTAAGAATAATTCTTGCAACATCAATGCGACGACCTTTGTATTTGCTCTAAAAACTTTTAAAACCACACAGACAAATGTACTATGTTCATTGGATTAATATGACACTCACAACAGATAATTGGAGATCCTTCCCAATTACCATCAGATTTACAAGTAAGCACTGCATCTCCAGAATTTTTGTTATATCCTACAGAACAAGACAACGTTATGGTATCATCTAGTCCGTTCCCGCTTGTTACATTCGTTGTATGGGGCACTGTGTCCGGGTAGTCACATGTCACCGCTAAAATAGAAGAGAGGCGAAAGATACCAGAGGGACATTGAAACTGGCATAAAAAACTAAAGACTGAGCAACACGAACCACACCAAAAACTGGGGTGATCTCAGGTGCTCCGGAAGGGTAAGCATATCCTTCTCCACATGTGGCACCCGTCGTGTTGCTCATGTTAGTACAAACTCGGTAATAAGTCTAATTCGATAGGTCACATTCGGGAAAAGGGGACGGGATTGTAGTTACAACATTAGGAACATAGCTGCTATCATCTGTGAAACAGGTATTCAATAACGGCCAACCCACTCTCTATGGCGTCCGTAAGACTTACGAAGGGATGATTTCAACTTCACCAATTGGAACTCTCGGTTTAATAGCTTCCTTGTAAGCAGCAACCATCTATCAAGGAAATCATGATAGGAAATACAAGCCCTGGAATATCGTATCAACTGGGAGATATATACTCCGTATGTAGGCGCTGCTGGAATGTAGCTACATATAAATGGAAAGTTCACAATTGGGAAGCTGAAATCATATTTTTTGTCGTAAAGTTTTATTTTCAACCGGCCCTCCTCATTGTTAATTTCTAGATGTAAGTCAAGATATGAGGCAGACGTAACTGTATCTGTTGTATCCTTTATATTAAATTCGATGGGATAGATGCGTTCATAGTCACCAAATTTTGAATTATTTAGTGAGAGAACATCGTCTACATAGCGGAAAGTAAAGTTAAAGAATACTGCTCACTTCTTTTCTTTCTTTCTAAGAAGTTCCTGTATGAAGTCAGCCTCATATGAATAAAGGAACAAGTCGGCAAAAAGAGGAGCACAGTTTGTTCCTATGGTAATGCCGATTGTTTGTTTAAAAACACGTCCTCCAAACGTAACAAATATGTTGTCAATCAAGAAAGCAAGCATCTTGATAATGTCAGTTTCAGAGAATTTTTCTTTGAATCAGAACGATGTTTTACAAAGTAGGATTTATCCCTCCCTAAGACAAGATACTTGTTTCTACGTTGACCTTTTTTTTTATAACCACGCAGGACCAACTCTTTCAATTTGTCTTTTAGTTTGGAAAGGGGAATACTTGTGTAAAGTGTAGAAAAGTCAAATGTTTAAATACTATTGCAAGATGAAAGAGTCTTAGATTGTGTATACTCTAAAAGATCTTTGGAATTTTTTAGTATTCATATCTGATTCACGCCACCTCTAGAATAGGTAGTTTCACAATTATCCCTCAGCCATCCAAGAGCACATGTGCAGTTAAAGCTGTCCGTCAAATCATTACAAGTGCCATTGTTCTGGCAAGGGTTTGGGTTGCATTTATCATTTAGTATTAACAAGACATAGCTTAGAGAAAATTTACGTGTTTTCTTTAACATACATGCACATATAAATTAAATACATCCAAAGAATAATCGATTGAGTTAATAACTCATAGCGTCTATTAATTTACTAAAAAGAAAATACAGTACTGTAATAGTTTACAGGATAGCCTTCTGGAGAAATCAGTGTGTTAAAAAAACAAAAAAAAAAAACACCGAAAATAACGCATGATTATCAAATAAACAAAGACTTCAACTCTTAAGCCTTTGGTTTGATAAGGCTAAGGATATAATGAACGACCTCCATCATTCGAGACTTGAACATTTATAAGAGACCACCAATGCGTTCTCACTAGAATTAGTCAAACAGACCATTAAAACCATTTTAATAAAAAACCATTCTTAATATACAAGCTATTGATCAATGTGATCAGTTAAAACGTTTTGCTGCTTTAAAGCATATTGCCGAAAGCTAATTCAACAAAGGCAATCAATTTCAACACAAGTTTTTATTTAAACATAGCTGCCCAGTATAAAGAAATAGTATGATTAGCAGACAATTTCAACCATGATTCAAAAATTTGTCGGAACAAACAATATAAACCAAACAATTTAAAGCATCAAAAATGTCTTTTAGGGCAATTTTCTTTTGTCTTAAAATTTAAAAATCTCTCGGACTACTGTTGCATAGTGTATGTTTATGAGAAAAATTAGTAAGGGTTTCGCGGAATCTAGTGTCTCGCCTACTTTTGCTGTTATTTATGTTTTCAGTGTTATAGGGGAATGCACATAATAGATTTACAGTTAATGAAATAAAACGTTTGAAATGTATGAAAAATAGTTATGCTTGTAAAAATGAATACAGTATGGAATCAAATCTATAGATTTATAAAAAAAAGGTGAAACATAAATTGATTGAATGAACAAATGATAAAGAAGATAATTTTTACATTGTTTGATGATTTATCCCTTAATTCAGACGACAACGGAATGTAGGATCGCTATGTCAACAAAAATGGGGAAAAAATTATTAAAACTTTTCCTCTAGATACTATACTGATTGTAAGAAGCTTCTGTCCAAGTTTGGTAAAAATCCAGGATGGTTTATGAATCTAATAAATGTTTTAAAAACTTTAACTGCAGACTGTATGCAACGTTAACTGGAAGAAAAACTAAGTCCATTTATAAGTAATATACGGAAAAACAGGAAATCAATGTTTACAAAATGTCCTTCTAGATACTAGCTTTTGATCATAAACAAGCTTCTGTTTAAGTTTTGTAAAATTCCTGGATAGTGTAAGAAAGTTATTTAAATTTTAAAAACTTTAACCACAGAGTGAATGTAATGTTAACTAGCAGAAAAACTAAGTCCATTTATAAGTAAAATACGGAAAAACAGGATTTTTGTTTTACAAAATTTACTTCTGGATACTATCTTATGATCATAAACAAGCTTCTGTCCAAGTTTGGTACAAATCCAGGATAGTTTAAGAAAGTTATTAAAATTTTAAAAACTTTAATCACAGAGTGAATGTAATGTTAACTGGCAGAAAAACTATGTCCATTTATAAGTAAAATACGGAAAAACTGGAATTTGCTTTTTACAAAATTTACTTCTGGATACTATCTTATGATCATAAACAAGCCTCTGTCCAAGTTTGGTAGAAATCCAGGATAGTTTAAGAAAGTTATTAAAATTTCAAAAACTTTAACCTCAGAGTGAATATTTGTGGACGCCGCCGACGACGACGACGACGCCGACGGAATGTAGTATCGCTATGTCTCGCTTTTTCGACAAAAGTCGAAGGCTCGACAAAAAGACGCTAAAATCTATAACTAAATATGCAGACAACGGACAAGTATAATTCATTATTATAGGGCATACGAAACCTAATTTTGAACGGCCCTTTTTATGGATTTTTAGACAACAATCACTACAAAAGGATTAGATAAATAAACAACATACCCACGTCACAGGCACTGCCACATGGTTCACACAAGGAAGCATCATTTGGCAATGCGTCATTGGTGCCTGAATAAAGATAAAAGATACATAACAATTATTTATGTTGTATTTGAAAAGGGAGTCCGAAACTCGTGTAGCGTTGCATGACAGTTAGATGTTTTATAATAGAAAATAAAAGTACTAAAAAATGACATTACAGTCATGTAATCTGCTATTTTGGTCGCCGTCTCTTCCTTCAAAGATTTTGTCTCAACATTCTCTGTTTTATTTGTTTACCGTTTGAAGTTTTCAGCTTAAACCAGGCTGTTTGTGTTCTATTTTAACACATATGTTAGAATTGTTTTGCATCATGTTATGCAAATCCATGTTATGACTTTCTATACGGTATTGAAATGGCCATTGATGAATGCTGTGACAAATAGTTATTTACATTCTGATCCGTTTGTCCTTGATGGATAAATGTCTCGTTGGCATTGATACCACGTGCACGCTTCTTCATTTTCATACTGCTCATTGATATGAATGTTTAATAATCAATCAACTGATTCTGTTCTTATACATTCTTGGCTTTTTGGGATGCAACAGCTAAACTGCCAGTATCGAATATGATGTGCATTTTTTTTTTGGTGGTCAATTTAGGAAAACGCTTTTAAATATTCGGCTCTAAGCGTTCCTGATGAAGGTTAATTCAGAAAAGCGCCTCGGAAGCATGAAATTTATAAAGTACAGATTTTAAAATCATAACAATTATTACAATATATTAAATGAAAACCGACATATTTAAAAAAAAAAGACGGATCGACGATGATTAAATCTTGTAATCGATTTTTAAAATCCAAAAATACAATTTACACGTTTCATTTTACAAATTTATCTATTTGCTTTTAACAACTTTTGACATTGATAACTTCGGATTGAATTCTATTTCTATATATATTTAAAACATTATTTCAAATTATTAGTAAAAAGTGTAAAGCTGATCTGACCACAACTTCATGATAAATTACCTTAGATCATAACGTTTAGACATACGGAAGGACGTACTGACTAGGAACATAATTTCCCTACTTTTAAAAGCAGGAAAAGAATTCGCAAAACAACCATTAGAAAATATATTACCTTGTCTTCTCAATGTGCGTATTTTCGGGGAGCCTGTGTATTGACAGAAATTGCTACACGTTGGTTCGTTATCATTTGGAGCACTATATTCTGGCGCAAACACTCTTTCGTTCGGATCAACACCAATGGAAACATCTTGAATTGAAAAACGTTAGTACAATAAAACAAGAACACATTCATATAATCGAGCAGTTTTTACTCGTTTTGCACTTTTTCTACATGTCTCCTTCTCTCTTTCTCTTTCTAATTTAGTGTTCCTATTCTACTGTGCATGATGTTTTTTTTTATTGTTTATTGTTATGTTTATACTAATTATGCTCTCTGTTGAATAGTATACAATCGTTTTTATCTAAATTGCTGTGCCATGAACAAATGGTCTTTAATCTGCACCAGTGAAGTACAACCAGATTGTTACAACATCAAATGATGAATTTGTATTGATGGCTTCATTTTAAATATTCCAACGCATTGTGTACATGCAACGTTCTCATGGTAGGTATGTTCACTGATATATGTTGCGTTTTATTGCTACACATAACATCACATGAAAGCACCATGTTGCTGTTGTATACAGATAGAATTTACGGAATCTTTTTTTTATATTATCGTTTTCTATAATAAATTATATTTGTGTACATACTGATTTCTAGAAATTTGCTCATTATAAAATGTATAATTATTTTGTTCTCTTTCCATATCCAGTTCTGTGTAATTGTATTTATCTAATTGATTGACTGACGTTTGCGAAACACCCAGGAACAAAGTCTGTCCTGGATTCTCAGATCTAATACTTTAAATGTGTATGCATGAATAATTTTTAAAGGAATTTACATAAAACGCCGACACACTGAAACAGATGACAACGAATATTCAGAATACTCAAGCACAAACAATAACTCATTGAACATGTTGAAAAGTGAAAAACAGTTTTTAATTTGAGTAAAACAAATATATAATACTAATTATTTATAACATGTTTTCTTGCCAGTATTATGTATGGCCGAATATTATTTTCAAATACAAGTTTTATGAAAAAAAAATTCTTAAAATACATTAAAAAGATCTAATAATTAATGCATAAAATACATGTAATTGATAACTGTCGCATTTGCATATAGGTAATTCTATACGTGTACCATGTATTTTTGCTGTCGATACCACTTGATTCCGGTGGCACCTGTGTGTATGGGTGTCATCAAATAACATTGTCTTGGATTGTGTGCACTTTACATCTAACAAGTTGTCTGCACTCGACTTCATTTTCTTTTGTTTGTCGAATTTGTTTCAATTTTTTCTTTTAATTGATATATATATTTAGAAATGCACATACCTGACAAAAGATAAAAGTAAAATAAATCGGCGGATACTTTTGTTAATTTCATACAAAGGTAAAGCCAGCTGATTCCTCCGTAAAGTTCACTAGTAAAACTTTTGTCACTTCTGAAATATACCATACAAACTAAACATGTAGGAATTGCCTTCATATAGATATATAACAACTGGTCTTTATAGTAATTGCTTACGAGAAGAGTTTCCATTTTAATCAAAAACTTTGCAAAAAGAAATTACGAATGATCTTAATATCTATAAAATGAAGTTTTTATGTATAGTTTTATATTTTAGATAATATGTTTTATTCCTTGTCTTTGGGTCCATTTTTACTCAGTAATACTATCTTCTTCTTTCTTTAAGTCGATTTGTCTCCATTATTTAATTGGGCCTATTTGACTATTTACAAGATGCGTTTAAGTTGATAAATATCTTATAATGTGAAGATGTTTATTTTCGCAGTGTTTAATTTCGCAAAATCCAGGACAAAACATGCTCATTTTCTATTTTCGTGATAACCTTGACATTCAATCTAATTTTGCATGAGTTGAACGATGGCACATTTTCGTGATGCATTTTAATCGTGCAGTAAGAGGAATAAACCAATCGAATAGTAATTATTCACTGTGGGCTGATGCGAGTAATTTGGCAAATATCTAAGCGATGTTTTTTTTTTTATTATTTTGTCAAACGTTCCTTCGTTATAACAATTTGAATTTGGTTACAATGTTCCATGACCTTTGACACAAGTGTTTAAATAAGAATATTCATAAGATAATAGAACAGAGGGGAAGACATTTTACTTCGTTTTTTTCCCACGTCTTTAACATATTAATCCGCTTACGAAACTTACTTTGTGTTGAAACCAACTGCATTTTATTCTCCAAAAATTGATAACTGGATCGTGTCATTGATAACTATTTGAATACGTTTATTTCTAAAGCATTCATTTTTTTTTATTATTATCTTTTTTCAAATTATATTAAAATAGGACTACTTTTCCGGATCCGGAACTATTACAATAAAAGCGCTCAAATCGATAAAAATTTTGGACATACACAACGCATTCTATTTATATACATTTATATAGTCATTGACGTGTATGTTGTCCTTTGGTTGTACATTGTTTGTTTTTGTCGTTGGGTTGCTTCTCATTGACGTATATCCCACAACCCAATTTTTTCATACATTCTTGTAGAAAAAGGTTATTCACTAAAATTAATCCTAAATTATTTGTTACTTGAAAACCACAACATCCTGCGCGTTAGAGATGTTTAAACTATTGATGCAAGTCCAACGGTCTATTTTTGTCCCATAAATGTCTAAACTGATGGAAGTTTGCATCGTTGTAGTTGCGATGTTGAGAGTTGTTGATTGTTCTGATTTGTCTGAAACTTTTGTATAATTATATTCCCACAATGTTCCCTGCAGTTCTTCAGGCAAAGAACAAGCGGCATCTGAAAATACAGAAGGTAGAGATTGGACCATATAAAATTTAAACACTTTGGACAATAGTAGATCACGTGATCGCTGAAAAGGACCAGACTTGATGTCAACTACAATTAAAGGCTGTATGTTGTATTTTTTTGTTATATGCATATATGTAATAGGGAGGCGAAAGATATCAAAGGGAAATTCAAACTCATAAGTCTAATATAAAATTAAAACGCCATGTCAAAGAGAGGCGAGAGATACCAAAGGGACATTCAAACTCATAAGTCGAAAATTAACTAAAATTATAAAGACCAAATACAAACAACAGTATACAAAACACAACAAACATGACATAGAAAACTAAAGACTGAGCAACACGAACTTCCCAACAATCAAGGTGATCACAGGTGTTTCAGAATGGTAAGCAGATCCTGCTCCATACTCAGCACCCGTCATAATGTAAGTGACTGTCTCGTCGATATCTAACTCACTCCTTTTATTTATATTGCCTGAATATGTATCATAATACGGGAAAAGACGGGATGAACTTTAACTTCTATAAGGTTCTCTAGACAATTGAGACTTACAAATTGTCTTATATTTATGTCACGTTTTCTATACCAAATAATTAATAAACATTACGACATCAAGCACGGGTGCAAGAATTTCAACACACTCAATTTATCTAGAACATGCACAGGATGCGGAAAGTAAAAATGAACGAATACTTTATGAGAAACACGAAGACAAACGACGACAATAACCTCTTTTTCCCGAAACTGACTTATAAAAATCTGTATAAACTAAAAATAATATGTTACGCATTAGAAAAAAATGAATTAGGAAAATGGAGAGGGAGAATATACGCCAAATCTAAATCAATCCAATGCAAAATAAAAAAAAAGGAAAATCAAAATAAAGCTTGATGAAAATACATGAAATATACGGGTTTACAATGAACAGGTTTGAATGCTTTTGCCGAGCTGTTTTTCGCCCCGAGGTAAAAAAAAGTAGATAACTCAATCAGTACGCATGATTATACTTTTCTTCGCGTGCTGAAATGATTAGAGAGCGGAACCTTCTAGTGCCAATACCTGTTTACAGGTGTTCTATTGGATAGTGTACTTCATGAATAAAAGTTTAGCTTGTTGTTATGTTAAAGGTAAACCTTCATCTTTTTATAAATAATATAAACACAGTAACAAACTGGCCAAGCTGGTTTTTTAAGTCACTAATTTGGTACCTGTTTCCCGGGTTTGATTGGCTGGAAATAACGACCAATCAATACTACATAGTAAACCTAAGAGATGACTTTGGTTTGAAATATTGTCAAATCCTGACTTTTTCTCGTGCGAAAAACTAGACGTCCTTTTGGCTTTGCTGAATGTACAATGTTTTGGATTTTCAAACTTTTTGGCCAATTTAATATTTTTTCAGCAAAATTGATTTAAAAAAAATAACCACCCCGATACAATGGAAATTACGAATTGTTCCTTTATATACAAAATGCATATAGAAACACATTTTGCTTTACTGCTTTACAGAAAGTTGTCAGCCGCGAGTTTAAGATGAATATTACTATACAGTTTGGAAGAAAATCTGTAGATACGTGTATCCGTACTATTCTCCCTTTTCATATTTTTCCTATTGATTTTATTTCCGTTAATCCTATTTCCTTTGTTATTTTGTTATTTTTGGAATGGAAATGGAACCTTCTTTTTGTTTTATTTGTTTTTCATATTTCTTTTATTTTGTTGTTGGATTTCACTATCGGAATTTCATTTGCATTAATATATTATCTTTTCATATGCATATTCGTATGTTGCCATATGTGTAATCGGAGGTGTGGCTTAAACCATGTGTCTTTTTTGAAATTGATAACATATTTATCTAATAATACTTGATAATTTGATGAATTTGTAAGAATATGCCTTATGTTATTACTTATAAATAAATTTCTGAATCATAATTATTTAGCGATTTCGCGGGTGTGTTCTTGTGATATTGAAAGTTTTACAAACACGATTATGACTGGTGTGATAAACGTAAATTTCTTTCACACATGACTGATGATATTTTCCATTGTTCGGAACGTATAACCCCATTCCGGCCTCTCAGGGTCATGTTGCTCTTAATGTTTGTGGACTGTAAAGTATGTTTAGACATATCAACTAGATTTTCTCACTTTCAAAACTAAATTGCAAATTTGTTTTTAATTAATTCCCATCTGCAATAAACATACAAAATGTCTATTCAAATTGTATTATACCCTTTGTTTACGGTTGCTTTAAATATCATAAATGCATCCACTTTCTCATTTTTGTTTCATTTTTTTATCTGGTTGCCTGTGCTCGGTCAAAGAGCACAACAACCAAAGTAGTAAAAATCACAAAGCCTGTTAAGAACTGAGTTATGCCGCTTTGTCCAAAGATTGTGACTTTTAACAACTTAAAATAATTGTTGATTTATGTATCATTGTCATTTTGCATAGTTTCTTTTGTTATCTATTCTGACATCGGAATCGGACTTTTTTTAAACTGAGTTTTACTGTGCGTATTGCTGTGTGTGTGTTTTTTTTAAATTGGCTAGAGGTATAGGGGGAGGGTTGAGATATCACAAAACATGTTTAACACCGCCGCATTTTTGCGCCTGTCCCAAGCCAGGAGCCTCTGGCCTTTGTTAGTCTTGTATAATTTATAATTTTAGTTCATCTATATGTTTTGGAGTTTAGTATTACGTCCGTTTTCACTGAACTAGTACATATTTCTGTTTAGGGGCCAGGTGAAGCCCGCCTCCGGGTGCAAGATTTTCTCGCTGTGTTGAAGACCCATTGGTGGCCTTCGGCTATTTTTTTTTTGCTCTTTGGTCGGATTGTTGTCTCTTTGACACATTCCCCATTTCCATTCTCCATTTCAATTAAAAATGAAATATCAAGCAGTGTTAACGTCGCGTCAAACCGTCTTAACGTATGTGTACAAATTATAAAACACTCATATTACACGCTACAACAGTTACATGCTTGGTTTTGCGGGCAACATGGGAAAACTATCAAATTCAACATCAAACTCACACATTTTATTCAATTTTTCTATATGAATACTTAAACTGTTGGCCAGTCTTTTATTTTATACCTATAGCAGCGCATATACATGACTAGGATGAAATTTGAAAAACGGCAGGTCAGGAGTTTTGAGTAAAAAAAAAAAAGGCAGGATGAGCAACTTGGCAAAATGGCAGGATGACAATTTATGTAAAAAATGTCAGGATAAACTAATGAAACAAAAAAGGCAGGACCAAATACATGTTTGATACATGTGATGTCCTCAGATATTTGTTTTGCTTTATAAGGTATAAAACCATACAATAAATGGTCGTCTTTTTGTGGTAATGCTCTTAACTGAAGTACTAGTATACATTGCAATATATACTCTGCAAACATTTCCTCAAATCAATATATATTAATAAAATGTTACACTTATTTAAGTTTAGAACGTTCCTTGACATTCTAAAGATATTCTATAAACAAACCAGATATGTCTAACTTAACCATAAATAGTAATAACATATAAAGGGTATCAATTGTATTGCACCAGATGCGCATTTCAAAAATAACTGTCTCTTCAGTGATGCTTGGGACCAAACTATTCTTTAGCCCAAAATCAAGTACAAACATTGAAGAGGGACTGATAAAACCAAAAACGAACCAAAGTAAAGCCAAACACAGACAAGAATTACAGCTCAAATATCTTATTTTAGATGCTGATTTACAAAAAAGTCTTAATTTAACGAGACAAATGAATAAAGTGTGGTCTTATATAGAATATCAATGTCTTATATCACAAAAAAAATTTCTAATATAAGAGAACTTACTACACACAGGAGGGTTTCCATCCCAGGTTTTATCCTCCTTACACGTCCGTACCAAATTACCAGAAGATATTTCATAGCCAGTGTTGCACTTGTATGTTATTGTGTCAAGATAATTTGAACCAGTCTGTACCAATATTGTGGCAGAGACAACTGCAGAAGGATTCGGACATGTCACTGGCACTACAATGATTATTGTACTTATTTAATATCAAATAAATACATTTATTCTAACTATTAAGATCGATTTGATAAAAAGCATTCTTCACCAAGTTCCAAGAATATTTTCATCTTTTCTTTGCTTGGTTGAAAAGTTTGCTCTCAATTTCGATAAACTCCCAGTAATAGCTAGTTCAAGAATTTATGTCATGCGAACATTGAAACAACATGAATTTAACTTACTTAACTAACAAATTAGAACGAAATTGATAAAAATTTTGTCTAACGTTTGCTTCTGGTGAAGAAGAAGTTTGAAAGTATAATTTGGCTTTAATTTTGGATTACTTTACGTCAACAACATCTTTACACTTCAGTAGTAATAGTTTTTAAAGGATTTATTTTCATGGTAAACTTGTATCTACTCTTATATACACAATGCTAAACATTATTAACGACAGTATATCCGAATATTCTGCCTTTCTACGGGTAAAAAAATGATCACATATGTTTTGCTGCGTACTTACCCCCCCCCCCTCACCCCCCCCCCCCCCCCCCCAAACCCCAAAAAAAAAAAAATAAAAAAAAATAAAACTCATCAAAGGTCCATTTGTACCACATATAATTACACAAAAGCTCATAAATCATTGAATGTCTCTTCTAGAAAATTCCCATTCCCTGCAGACTACAATTTACGTTTCTAATGTCATATTACAAAATAAACAATCATTTACTGCTTATTGTACAATGTTGCTGATATTACAGGTTTTTACCAGCACATTTGGCCCAGGCGAGTACATGAGAAAGATAAATCTTCTTATATATAGGTAAATGTGTTGTAATCGTCAAAAAGATTCACATAATCGATTAGAAACCTTTGTGTGTTTAACTGTATACATTTGACTAAGGAATCGACACCGACACCAGTCTTGTGTTTAAATGACTGTAAGAATAATTCTTGCAACATCAATGCGACGACCTTTGTATTTGCTCTAAAAACTTTTAAAACCACACAGACAAATGTACTATGTTCATTGGATTTATATGACACTCACAACAGATAATTGGAGATCCTTCCCAATTACCATCAGATTTACAAGTAAGCACTGCATCTCCAGAATTTTTGTTATATCCTACAGAACAAGACAACGTTATGGTATCATCTAGTTCGTTCCCGCTTGTTACATTCGTTGTATGAGGCACTGTGTCCGGGTAGTCACATGTCACCGCTAAAATAGAAGAAAGGCGAAAGATACCAGAGGGACATTGAAACTGGCATAAAAAACTAAAGACTGAGCAACACGAACCATACCAAAAACTGGGGTGATCTCAGGTGCAGATCTCAGATCTCCGGAAGGGTAAGCATATCCTTCTCCACATGTGGCACCCGTCGTGTTGCTCATGTTAGTACAAACTCGGTAATAAGTCTAATTCGATAGGTCACATTCGGGAAAAGGGGACGGGATTGTAGTTACAATATTAGGAACATAGCCGCTATCATCTGTGAAACGGGTATTCAATAACAGCCAACCCACTCTTTATGGCGTCCGTAAGACTTACGAAGGGATGATTTCAACTTCACCCAATGGAACTCTCGGTTTAATAGCTTCCTTGTAAGCAGCAACCATCTATCAAGGAAATCATGATAGGAAATACAAGCCCTGGAATATCGTATCAACTGGGAGATATATACTCCGTATGTAGACGCTGCTGGAATGTAGCTACATAGAAATGGAAAGTTCACAATTGGGAAGCTGAAATCATATTTTTTGTCGTAAAGTTTTATTTTCAACCGGCCCTCCTCATTGTTAATTTCTAGATGTAAGTCAAGATATGAGGCAGACTTAACTGTATCTGTTGTATCCTGTATATTAAATTCGATGGGATAAATGCGTTCACCATAGTCACCAAATTTTGAATTATTTAGTGAGAGAGCATCGTCTACATAGCGGAAAGTAAAGTTAAAGGATACTGCTCACTTCTTTTCTTTCTTTCTAAGAAGTTCCTGTATGAAGTCAGCCTCATATGAATAAAGGAACAAGTCGGCAAAAAGAGGGGCACAGTTTGTTTTTATGGTAATGCCGATTGTTTGTTTAAAAACACGTCCTCCAAACGTAACAAATATGTTGTCAATCAAGAAAGCAAGCATCTTGATAATGTCAGTTTCAGAGAATTTTTTCTTTGAATCAGAACGATGTTTTACAAAGTAGGATTTATCCCTTCCTAAGACAAGATACTTGTTTCTACGTTGACATTGTTTTTTATAACCACGCAGGACCAACTCTTTCAATTTGTCTTTTAGTTTGGAAAGGGGAATACTTGTGTAAAGTGTAGAAAAGTCAAATGTTTAAATACTATTGCAAGATGAAAGAGTCTTAGATTGTATATACTCTACAAGATCTTTGGAATTTTTTAGTATCCATATCTGATTCACGACACCTCTCGAATAGGTAGTTTCACAATTATCCCTCAGCCATCCAAGAGCACATGTGCAGTTAAAGCTGTCCTTCAAATCATTACAAGTGCCATTATTCTGGCAAGGGTTTGGGTTGCATTTATCATTTAGTATTAACAAGACATAGCTTAGAAAAAATTTACGTGTTTTCTTTAACATACATGCACATATAAATTAAATACATACAAAGAATAATCGATTGATTTAATAACTCATAGCGTCTATTAATTTACTAAAAAGAAAATACAGTACTGTAATAGTTTACAGGATAGCCTTCTGGAGAAACAAGTGTGTTAAAAAAAAAAACAAAAAAAAAACACCGAAAATAACGCATGATTATCGAATAAGCAAAGACTTCAACTCTTAAGCCTTTGTTTTGATAAGGCTAAGGATATAATGAACGACCTCCATCATTCGAGACTTGAACATTTATAAGAGACCACCAATGCGTTCTCACTAGAATTAGTCAAACAGACCATTACAACCATTTTAATAAAAAACCATTCTTAATATACAAGCTATTGATCAATGTGATCAGTTAAAACGTTTTGCTGCTTTAAAGCATATTGCCGAAATCTAATTCAACAAAAGCAATCAATTTCAACACAAGTTTTTATTTAAACATAGCTGCCCAGTATATAGAAATAGTATGATTAGCAGACAATTTCAACCATGATTCAAAAATTTGTCGGAACAAAAAATATAAACAAAACAATTTAAAGCATCAAAAATATCTTTTAGGGCAATTTTCTTTTGTCTTAAAATTTAAAAATCTCTCGGACTACTGTTGCATAGTGTATGTATATGAGAAAAATTCGTAAGGGTTCCGCGGAATCTAGTGTCTCGCCTACTTTTGCTGTTATCTATGTTTTCAGTGTGATAGGGGAATGCACATAATAGATTTACAGTTAATGAAATAAAACGTTTGAAATGTATGAAAAAATTTATGCTTGTAAAAATGAATACAGTATGGAATCAAATCTATAGATTTATAAAAAAAAGTTGAAACATAAATTGATTGAATGAACAAATGATAAAGAAGATAATTTTTACATTGTTTGATGATTTATCCCTTAATTCAGACGACAACGGAATGTAGGATCGCTATGTCAACAAAAATGGGGAAAAAATTATTAAACCTTTTCCTCTAGATACTATACTGATTGCAAGAAGCTTCTGTCCAAGTTTGGTAAAAATCCAGGATGGTTTATGAATCTAATAAATGTTTTAAAAACTTTAACTGCAAACTGAATGTAACGTTAACTGGAAGAAAAACTAAGTCCATTTATAAGTACTATACAGAAAAACAGGAAATCATTTTTTACAAAATTTCCTTCTAGATATTAGGTTTTGATCATAAATAAGCTTCTGTTTAAGTTTTGTAAAATTCCTGGATAGTTTAAGAAAGTTATTTAAATTTTAAAAACTTTAACCACACAGTGAATGTAATGTTAACTGGCAGAAAAACTAAGTCCATTTATAAGTAAAATACGGAAAAACAGGATTTTTGTTTTACAAAATTTACTTCTGGATACTATCTTATGATCATAAACAAGCTTCTGTCCAAGTTTGGTACAAATCCAGGATAGTTTAAGAAAGTTATTAAAATTTTAAAAACTTTAATCACAGAGTGAATGTATTGTTAACTGGCAGAAAAACTATGTCCATTTATAAGTAAAATACGGAAAAACTGGAATTTGCTTTTTACAAAATTTACTTCTGGATACTATCTTATGATCATAAACAAGCCTCTGTCCAAGTTTGGTAGAAATCCAGGATAGTTTAAGAAAGTTATTAAAATTTCAAAAACTTTAACCACAGAGTGAATATTTGTGGACGCCGCCGACGACGACGACGACGCCGACGGAATGTAGGATCGCTATGTCTCGCTTTTTCGACAAAAGTCGAAGGCTCGACAAAAAGATGCTAAAATCTAGAATTAAATATGCAGACAACGGACAAGTATAATTCATTATTATAGGGCATACGAAACCTAATTTTGAACGGCTCTTTTTATGGATCTTTAGACAACAATCACTACAAAAGGATTAAATAAATAAACAACATACCCACGTCACAGGCACTGCCACATGGTTCACACAAGGAAGCATCATTTGGCAATGCGTCATTGGTACCTGAATAAAGATAAAAGATACATAACAATTATTTGAGTTGTATTTGAAAAGGGAGTCCGAAACTCGTGTAGCGTTGCATGACAGTTAGATGTTTTATAATAGAAAATAAAAGTACTAAAAAATGACATTAAAGTCATGTAATCTGTTATTTTGGTCGTCGTCTCTTCCTTCAAAGATTTTGTCTCAACATTCTCTGTTTGATTTGTTTACCGTTTGAGGTTTTCAGCTTAAACCAGGCTGTTTGTGTTCTATTTTAACACATATGTTAGAATTGTTTTGCATCATGTTATGCAAATCCATGTTATGACTTTCTATACGGTATTGAATTTGGCCATTGATGAATGCTGTGACAAATAGTTATTAACATCCTGATCCGTTTGTCCTTGATGGATAAATGTCTCGTTGGCATTGATACCACGTGCACGCTTCTTCATTTTCATACTGCTCATTGATATGAATGTTTAATAATCAATGAACTGATTCTGTTCTTATACATTCTTGGCTTTTTGGGATGCAACAGGTAAACTGCCAGTATCGAATATGATGTGCATTTTTTTTTTGGTGGTCAATTTAGGAAAACGCTTTTAAATATTCGGCTCTAAGCGTTCCTGATGAAAGTTAATTCAGAAAAGCGCCTCGGAAGCATGAAATTTATAAAGTACAGATTTTAAAATCATAACAATTATTACAATATATTAAATGAAAACCGACATATTTAAAAAAAAAGACGGATCGACGATGATTAAATCTTGTAATCGATTTTTAAAATCCAAAAATACAATTTACACGTTTCATTTTACAAATTTATCTATTTGCTTTTAACAACTTTTGACATTGATAACTTCGGATTGAATTCTATTTCTATATATATTTAAAACATTATTTCAAATTATTAGTAAAAAGTGTAAAGTTGATCTGACCACAACTTCATGATAAATTACCTTAGATCATACCGTTTAGACATACGGAAGGACGTACTGACTAGGAACATAATTTCCCTACTTTCAAAAGCAGGAAAAGAATTCGCAAAACAACCATTAGAAAATATATTACCTTGTCTTCTCAATGTGCGTATTTTCGGGGAGCCTGTGTATTGACAGAAGGTGCTACACGTTGGTTCGTTATCATTTGGAGTACCATATTCTGGCGCAAACACTCTTTCGTTCGGATCAACACCAATGAAAACATCTTGAATTGAAAAACGTTAGTACAATAAAACAAGAACACATTCATATAATCGAGCAGTTTTTAGAGCTCAGGAAAGGAGACATTTTACTCGTTTTGCACTTTTTCTACATGTCTCCTTTTCTCTTTCTCTTTCTAAGTTAGTGTTCCTATTCTACTGTGCATGATGTTTTTTTTTATTGTTTATTGTTATGTTTATACTGATTATGCTCTCTGTTGAATAGTATACAATCGTTTTTATTTAAATTGCTGTGCCATGAACAAATGGTCTTTAATCTGCACCAGTGAAGTACAATCAGATTGTTACAACAGCAAATGATGAATTTGTATTGAAGGCTTCATTTTGAATATTCCTACGCATTGTGTACATGTAACGTTCTCATGGTAGGTATGTTCACTGATATATGTTGCGTTTTATTGCTACACATAACATCACCTGAAAGCACCATGTGGCTGTTGTATACAGATAGAATTTACGGAATCTTTTTTTTTATATTATCGTTTTCTATAATAAATTATATTTGTGTACATACTGATTTCTAGAAATTTGCTCATTATAAAATGTATAATTATTTTGTTCTCTTTCCATATCCAGTTCTGTGTAATTGTATTTATCTAATTGATTGACTGACGTTTGCGAAACACCCAGGAACAAAGTCTGTCCTGGATTCTCAGATCTAATACTTTAAATGTGTATGCATGAATAATTTTTAAAGGAATTTACATAAAACGCCGACACACTGAAATAGATGACAACGAATATTCAGAATACTTAAGCACAAACAATAACTCATTGAACATGTTGAAAAGTGAAAAACAGTTTTTAATTTGAGTAAAACAAATATATAATACTAATTATTTATAACATGTTTTCTTGCCAGTATTATGTATGGCCGAATATTATTTTCAAATACAAGTTTTATGAAAAAAAATATTCTTAAAATACATTAAAAAGATCTAATAATTAATGCATACAATACATGTAATTGATAACTGTCGCATTTGCATATAGGTAATTCTATACGTGTACCATGTATTTTTGCTGTCGATACCACTTGATTCCGGTGGCACCTGTGTGTATGGGTGTCATCAAATAACATTGTCTTGGATTGTGTGCACTTTACATATAACAAGTTGTCTGCACTCGACTTTATTTCCTTTTGTTTGTCGAATTTGTTTCAATGTTTTCTTTTAATTGATATATATATTTAGAAATGCACATACCTGACAAAAGATAAAAGTAAAATAAATCAGCGGATACTTTTGTTAATTTCATACAAAGGTAAAGCCATCTGATTGCTCCGAAAATTTCACTAATAAAACTTTTGTCACTTCTGAAATATACCATACAAACTAAACATGTAGGAATTGCCTTCATATAGATATGTAACAACTGGTCTTTATAGTAATTGCTTACGAGAAGAGTTTCCATTTTAATCAAAAACTTTGCAAAAAGAAATTACGAATGATCTTAATATCTATAAAATGAAGTTTTTATGTATAGTTTTATATTTTAGATAATATGTTTTATTCCTTGTCTTTGGGTCCATTTTTACTCAGTAATACTATCTTCTTCTTTCTTTAAGTCGATTTGTCTCCATTATTTAATTGGGCCTATTTGACTATTTACAAGATGCGTTTAAGTTGATAAATATCTTATAATGTGAAGATGTTTATTTTCGCAGTGCTTAATTTCGCAAAATCCAGGACAAAACATGCTCATTTTCTATTTTCGTGATAACCTTGACATTCAATCTAATTTTGCATGAGTTGAACGATGGCACATTTTCGTGATGATGCATTTTAATCGTGCAGTAAGTGGAATAAACCAATCGAATAGTAATTATTCACTGTGGGCTGATGCGAGTAATTTGGCAAATATCTAAGCGATGTTTTTTTTTATTATTTTGTCAAACGTTCCTTCGTTATAACAATTTAAATTAGCTTACAATGTTCCATGACCTTTGACACAAGTGTTTAAATAAGAATATTCATAAGATAATAGAACAGAGGGGAAGACATTTTACTTCGTTTTTTTCCCACGTCTTTAACATATTAATCCGCTTACGAAACTTACTTTGTGTTGAAACCAACTGCATTTTATTCTCCAAAAATTGATAACTGGATCGTGTCATTGATAACTATTTGAATACGTTTATTTCTAAAGCATTCATTTTTTTTTATTATTATCTTTTTTCAAATTATATTAAAATAGTACTACTTTTCCGGATCCGGAACTATTACAATAAAAGCGCTCAAATCGATAAAAATTTTGGACATACACAACGCATTCTATTTATATACATTTATATAGTCATTGACGTGTATGTTGTCATTTGGTTGTACATTGTTTGTTTTTGTCGTTGGGTTGCTGTCTCATTGACGTATATACCACAACCCAATTTTTTTATACATTCTTGTAGAAAAAGGTTATTCACTAAAATTAATCCTAAATTATTTGTTACTTGAAAACCACAACATCATGCGCGTTAGAGATGTTTAAACTATTGATGCAAGTCCAACGGTCTATTTTTGTCCCATAAATGTCTAAACTGATGGAAGTTTGCATCGTTGTAGTTGCGATGTTGAGAGTTGTTGATTGTTCTGATTTGTCTGAAACTTTTGTGTAATTATATTCCCACAATGTTCCCTGCAGTTCTTCAGGCAAAGAACAAGCGGCATCTGAAAATACAGAATGTAGAGATTGGACCATATAAAATTTAAACACTTTGGACAATAGTAGATCACGTGATCGCTGAAAGGGACCAGACTTGATGTCAACTACAATTAAAGGCTGTATGTTGTTTTTTTTTGTTATATGCATATATGTAATAGGGAGGCGAAAGATATTAAAGGGAAATTCAAACTCATAAGTCTAATATAAAATTAAAACGCCATGTCAAAGAGAGGCGAGAGATACCAAAGGGACATTCAAACTCATAAGTCGAAAATTAACTAAAACTATAAAGACCAAATACAAACAACAGTATACAAAACACAACAAACATGACATAGAAAACTAAAGACTGAGCAACACGAACCTCCCAGCAATCAATGTGATCACAGGTGTTTCAGAATGGTAAGCAGATCCTGCTCCATACTCAGCACCCGTCACAATGTAAGTTACTGTCTCGTCGATATCTAACTCACTCCTTTTATTTATATTGCCTGTATATGTATCATAATACGGGAAAAGAAGGGATGAACTTTAACTTCTATAAGGTTCTCTAGACAATTGAGACTTACAAATTGTCTTATATTTATGTCACGTTTTCTATACCAAATAATTAATAAACATTACGACATCAAGCACGGGTATAAAAAAAAAGTAGATAAATCAATCAGTACGCATGATTATACTTTTCTTCGCGTGCTGAAATGATTAGAGAGCGGAACCTTCTAGTGCCAATACCTGATTACAGGTGTTCTATTGGATAGTGTACTTCATGAATAAAAGTTTAGCTTGTTGCTATGTTAAAGGTAAACCTTCATCTTTTTATAAATAATATAAACACAGTAACAAACTGGCCTAGCTGGTTTTTAAGTCACTAATTTGGTACCTGTTTCCCGGGTTTGATTGGCTAGAAATAACGACCAATCAATACTACATAGTAAACCTAAGAGATGACTTTGGTTTGAAATATTGTCAAATCTTGACTTTTTCTCGTGCGAAAAACTAGACGTCCTTTTGGCTTTGCTGAATGTAAAATGTTTTGGATTTTCAAACTTTTTGGCCAATTTAATATTCTTTCAGCAAAATTGATTTTAAAAAAATAACCAACCCGATACAATGGAAATATACGAATTGTTCCTTTATATACAAAATGCATATAGAAACACATTTTGCTCTACTGCTTTACAGAAAGTTGTCAGCCATGAGTTTAAGATGAATATTACTATACAGTTTGGAAGAAAATCTGTAGATACGTGTATCCGTACTATTCTCCCTTTTCATATTTTTCCTATTGATTTTATTTCCGTTAATCCTATTTCGTGTGTTATTTTGTTATTTTGGGAATGGAAATGGAACCTTATTTTTTGTTTATTTGTTTTTCATATTTCTTTTATTTTGTTGTTGGATTTCACTATCGGAATTTTATTTGCATTAATATATTTTCTTTTCTTATGCATATTCGTATGTTGCCATATATGTAATCGGAGGTGTGGCTTAAACCATGTGTCTTTTTTGAAATTGATAACATATTTATCTAATAATACTTGATAATTTGATGAATTTGTAAGAATATGCCTTATGTTATTACTTATAAATAAATTTCTGAATCATAATTATTTAGCGATTTCGCGGGTGTGTTTTAGTGATATTGAAAGTTTTACAAACACGATTATGACTGGTGTGATAAACGTAAATTTCTTTCACAGATGACTGATGATATTTTCCATTGTTCGGAACGTATAACCTCATTCCGGCGTCTCAGGGTCATTTTGCTCTTAATGTTTGTGGACTGTAAAATATGTTTAGACATATCAACTAGATTTTCTCACTTTCAAAACTAAATTGCAAATGTGTTTTGATTAATTCCCATCTGCAATAAACATACAAAATGACTATTCAAATTGTATTATACCCTTTGTTTACGGTTGCTTTAAATATAATAAATGCATCCACTTTCTCATTTTTGTTTCATTTTTTTATCTGGTTACCTGTGCTCGGTCAAAGAGCACAACAACCAAAGTAGTAAAAATCACAAAGCCTGTTAAGAACTGAGTTATGCCGCTTTGTCCAAAGATTGTGACTTTTAACAACTTAAAATAATTGTTGATTTATGTATCATTGTCATTTTGCTTAGTTTCTTTTGTTATCTATTCTGACATCGGAATCGGACTTTTTTTAAACTGAGTTTTACTGTGCGTATTGCTGTGTGTTTTTTTTTTACATTGGCTAGAGGTATAGTGGGGAGGGTTGAGATATCACAAAACATGTTTAACACCGCCGCATTTTTGCGCCTGTCCCAATTTTTAATTTGAGTTCATCTATATGTTTTGGGGTTTAGTATTACATCCGTTTTCACTGAACTAGTACATATTTCTGTGTAGGGGCCAGCTTAAGCCCGCCTCCGGGTGCAAGATTTTCTCGCTGTGTTGAAGACCCATTGGTGGCCTTCGGCTGTTTTTTTTTTTGCTCTTTGGTCGGGTTGTTGTCTCTTTGACACATTCCCCATTTCCATTCTCCATTTTAATAGAAAAATGAAATATCAAGCAGTGTTAACGTCGCGTCAAACCGTCTTAACGTATGTGTACAAATTATAAAACACTCATATTACACGCTACAACAGTTAAATGGTTGGTTTTGCGGGCAACATGGGAAAACTCTCAAATTCAACATCAAACTCACACATTTTATTCAATTTGTCTATATGAATACTTAAACTGTTGGCCAGTCTTTTATTTTATACCTATAGCAGCGCATATACATGACTTTTTGTGTGCTTCTTCCACATATGATCAGATGAACAAAATTTAATTATCTGATGGAGGGGGAGTACAATTTTATAAATTAATATCCTGATCTAGCAAGAACTGAAAGAAAAATAAAAATGCTTAAGGGAGCTACCAGTTGATTTTTATGGGGGGGGGGGGGGGGGGGGGGGAATTGAAAATAATATAAATTTGAAAAAAGGCAGAACAGGAGTTTTGAGTAAAAAAAAAGGCAGGATGAGCAACTTGGCAAAATGGCAGGATGACAATTTATGTAAAAAATGTCAGGATAAACTAATAAAAAATAGGCAGGACCAAATAGAGTGAAAAATAAAAAGGCATGACAGAGATTACAACTAAAAAAAATAAAAATGCAGGACAAAATTTTTCATCTTAGCCCCCATAAAAATCAAATGGTAGCTCCCTAAGATAGGATGAAAATGAATATTCGACCACATAAAATGCAGAAAATATATTTTTATAAAATCATGAAAACGGTAAAGAACTTTATGTGCGAAAGGAATACGATGACATTAAATTTCTTTTTCGAAATACTAAGGATTTTCTTCCCCAGGAATAGATTACTTAGCTATAATTGGCAAAACCTTTCGGAATTTTGGGTCCTCAATGGTCTTCAACTTCGAACTTTATTCAGGCCTTGGTAACTTTTTGGATTCGAGCGTCACTGGTTAGTCTTTTGTTGACGAAACGCGTGTCAAGCGTATACAATTGTTCTACTGGTATCTATGATGAGTTTATAGCAATTTCCGGTGAAAATGAATTTTTATTTTGAGAAAAATGACTATAGTTCTGCCCCCCTTCCCCCCTTAAATTTGATCAAATTAATGTGAAAGTCGAAAGTTTGATTGCAATCAGTGTTAACTATACAAGATGAAATTCGAAAATCTTATGTAATATTACCTGACGTTGATGAATACATTAAACATATAATCACTGAAAGAAGGGCGGTGTAAAAATTCTCATTTAGTGTCTCCATTTTCACTTTACACATTTATAAAGAATAATTTCTCACTATTTTTCAAATATCATTGCATTGTCCTGAATTATTCTCCAAACAGTATATCACAAATTGGAAACAGCGCACAACACAAACACTTATTTTTATCTATAAAATTACATGACACACGTTTTTAAAGTTGTTTATGACAGTTCAATGGTTAACATGTATAAAAAATGAATTCAAGATAAATATAAATATCAAATATTTTAATAAGCAATTTATTTACTACAGAGATTTAATAAATCATACCTTATGTTAAATTATGCATGCATGTAAATGTTTTGAAGTATGACAATATAAAACTTATTCTGTTCAAGATGAGATGTTTATATTCAATTATCTAAACTGTCAATGACCATCTAGCTGAATACGATTGCTATTAAGTGAGGTCAAAGAAATTTACACAAGAGTGACTTTTAAATCAGTGGCCTGATCACACTCGATGTAGATTATTAGGCATACTTGATTAACAAAATGTAAAGGCTGATGAAAAATTGGGTCAAACTACAGTTATAAATTGGAAATAAAGACATGCAGAACTTGTCTGTCAGTATTGTACACCAATTAAACAATACAAAAAGAACGGAAAGGTTTGAGACCTGACAAAAAACCTTATCTCGTAACCTTCTATGTGGCTATCCGAAATCAAGCCAGGAACCACTTCAGCAAGAGCTATATTATCATATGTTTATTTCCCATCTTAACTAAATATGGTCACTTGCAAGCGAGTTCTTCTATTTGTCTTAAAAAAATCTAAATCAATGTTGAAAAAGACCGTTTTATTGCCTTTGTTTAAATGTTTTACTGCACAGTAACGTCGAAGTGGCGTTAAATCCTAATGGTATCTCCCTTATCGTACATTATTTGTTTTATTTGACGGTAAAAATCAAACAGTTGGTGAACAGAATATATTTGTTCTTTATTCAAAATAACATCATCGAATGTAAATTATCAATAAGTTTTGACTTGTCATCAGCAACAGGACAGGTAACATGAGTGATGCAGCAATATTTCCAATTCGGAACACCCGATTTTAAGCCCTGTTTTTATTTGAGTTCGTAGTGCTCAGTGTTTAGTTTTCTGTGTTTTACCTTGTGCAAGCAAAATAATTACTTGGAAAATTGCCATTATAGCCTATCTTTTTTAAACTTGCCTTTATTCACACAGAACTAAACACACAAACAGCCCCCAAATATGGTTTATATTTGATCTAAAAAGAAAATTG